TCTACACGAGGGAGGCCTCTTCAACCCAGAAACGGACGTAACCCTAAAAGAAAAGCAGGAGGTCAGGCAAGCTGCCGGTAAGTTCGGCTATACCTGGCAGCCGTACAATCAAAGTCGCCCCAGATGGCAAGCTCCTTCCAACCAATACCGCAGGAATTTTAATAATTCCTTCTCAGGGTCGGCCAGAGGTAGGGGCCCCCCGTCCCCCAAGTTTCAGACCAACAAGAGAGGCTCCTACTCTTCGAAGTCAAGGTATCAGCCATACCAGGCCAGATCTAAGAATCAGGGCGCCTCCAGGAAGCGTCTTTGACGCTTCCGCTGAGACAACTTCCCGGGAACACGACGGGTCACCCAACCCCTGGTTTATATCCCCTCAGTTACCAGTTTCTATCGACTCTGATGCCTTACCCAGTTGCTATGCCCCCACCGCCCCCCCTAACTATGATAACAGATTACAGGCCTTTTATAACAGTTGGGCCGGCATTACCACGGACAAGTGGGTGCTCTCTATCATTCAGAATGGTTATGCAATTGAATTTCAAAGTATCCCTCATGTGGGCAGGGTGAAGAGTACTGCCCCTTCGGAGGCTCTACTCTGCGAGATCGACACTCTCTTGGGAAAGGGCGCTATTTCACCTGTTTCAGTTTCAAGTTTCCCTTCATGTTTTTTCTCACGTTATTTCGTAGTTACAAAACGGGGCGGCGGCTTCAGAGCCATTCTGGATTTAAGAGATCTAAATAAAGCAATTTTACCAAAGAAATTTCGTATGGTGACGCTGTCGTCTATCATGCCCCTTATACCAGAGGGCGCATGGTTCGCCACTGTAGACCTACGAGATGCTTATTTCCATTTATCAATAGCACCTCACCACCGCCGGTTCTTGACATTCATGGTGGGCAACAGAGCCTTCCAATACAATGTCCTCCCATTTGGGCTTAGTACCGCCCCAAGAGTATTCACAAAGTGCATGGCGGTGGTAGTAGCACATCTACGAACTCAGGGAATAGTCGTTTACCCATATATTGACGACTGGATTATTATTGGAAAATCAGCTTCCCAACTACAAAAACATGTGTATATCACTTTGTGTCTCCTGCAGTCCTTGGGCCTGGTCGTCAACGTGGAGAAGTCCTCCTTGGAACCATCCCGCAGCATCCTGTTCATTGGCGCACTCCTCGACGCAATGACACGCAGGGCTTATCTCCCACCGGAACGATTCTACAACCTACAGGTGCAGGTGAAGTTGGCCCTGGATTCTACCAGAGTGTTGGCCAAACAGGTCCAGACACTCTTGGGTTATATGGCCTCCACTACAGCTGTAACTCCCTTTGCACGCTTGCGCATGCGCCCCCTCCAGTCATGGTTTGGGTCAGTCTTCAACCCTATCAAGGATTGTCCCAGACTCAGGTTTACGCTACCCAAGGAGGTCCGTATGTCCCTAGTATGGTGGTTACAACCCCAATTTGTTTGCTCGGGCCTTCCGTTCCAACTCCCATACCCCACCAGAGTGGTTACGACGGATTCGTCCCTGACAGCATTCATGAAGGGCGTTCCCTTAGAGACGATTTGTAGGGCTGCTATTTGGGCTTCTCCTTCCACCTTTGTTTCCCATTATAAGTTGGACTGTGTGTCGAGAGGAGAAGCGAGATTTGGTAGAGCGGTGCTGTTCTCGGCAGTGGCATGATCCCGCCAGCCTTTGTATAGCTCACTAGTCTACCACAATGTGCGATTCACAGTTAACTACGACAGGAAATGGAAGGTTGCTTACCTGTAACCGTGGTTTCCTGAGTAGTTACCTGTGAATTCGCACATACCCTCCCTTCCTCCCCTCGAGTTCATGCCACTTCCTCTATCAGCTTTACGGCGGAAGAGGATGGAGGGCGGGCTCCACGTAGGGCCTTATATACTCGAGGAGGGGGAGGTGGAGCCACGAGGGGGATACAATTCTTTGAGCTTTCTAGAAGGTTCCGAAGCTGGCCTGTGCTGGCGCAGGGATACCACAATGTGCGAATTCACAGGTAACTACTCAGGAAACCACGGTTACAGGTAAGCAAACTTCCAATATCAGATTTGGGGATAGAATACAACTGCAAGGGACAAGTAATGGCTAAAATGTTGCCAGATTTTGTAATCGTAGAGTTGCTTTATTTTAAGGTAAACAGCGACATTGTTAATGCAGTTTATTCATATTAAAGTCTTTATTTCAAGTGTCCTTAGTAAAAGTAGCTGCTAGGTAAGTATATAGTCTTCTTATGTCTATTCAATATATAGATTAAACAGCCTTTATCTGGAATTTCAAAATCCAAAATGCTCTGAAATCCAAAATTGTCTACATGAGTAGCTGGGAATAGTGACACTGTAGCTTTCTGATGATTCAGTATACACAAGCTGTTTCATGCACACCATTTTTACAAATATTGTATATAAAATGTATATGGAACATACATTAAGTTTGTGTTTAGACCTGGGTCCCATCTCCCAAGATACACAGTATTCCAAAATTCCAGGAAAAATATCAAAACATTTATGGTCCCAACTAGTTTAGATAAAAGATACTCAATTTGTAATTAATATTTTAATGTCAATGGTATGGAATTTCCTTGATGAAAAGTGTGTGTGGTTGTTACTGAGACTGACATGTAGGCATTACTGAAAATCTTGTATTGGCGCTTCCTTTAGTACATGATAAAAATGAGCTTTATTCATGGATTGAGCAGTGTACATATTGCAATATGTCTGTGTGACCGCACATAAGATTGTTCATTTGTGCTTACCCTGTTGCAAATAAACTATAACAAGCGATGAGACTTAATATGCTGAGTAACAAGCAGAGAGAAGAACTATGCCGTCATTTCTTGAAAAATAACGGCTTTCTGTCTTTGAAAAGTTTTTTTCTGAAGTTAAAATCTTTCAAGAAGGTTCTCACAATATTAATGTCTTTTGAATTGTAAAACAAAGGTGCTGCCACAACTAAATGTCTTCATATTGTCCACAATCTCAGCTATGGATTGATTACTTTGGGGTTTTTTTCCTCTTTATGGAAATCCTGAAAATAAAAATCAGTATATAAATACTGGAAAAATAAAATGTATAAAAGCATGAAGAATGTTCTCATAGGATTAGAATCCTTCATAAAATGTTAGTTTGTGTTTATGTCCGGCTGTATGATTTATGTCCATGACTTGGTTCAGACTCATGTCATCAAGATCTATTGCCTATTTTCTTTTGCTGTTTAATATTTTTTCATGTGATATAAGATCATGGAAATATGTTTTTGTACAATATTGCAGTTTGGTTTCTCTGAAAGGAGATTAAAATCTTAATTCTAATGTAAATCCTGCTTAAAATACAATGTGCTGAAACAAGCTTTTTAAATTTTTAATACATTGATATTGTTAGATTCGAAATAAAAAAGTGAAAATAATATGTGTGACTGTTTAAATAATTATAGAATCAATGTTGGAGGAGGCCATAAGGGCCATCCCGTCCTACCCCATCCTGCCATGCAGAAAAGCACATTCAACAGATGGCCATCCAGCATCTGCTTAAAAACCTCCAGAAGAGACTCCACTACCATTTGAATTAGCATATTCCATTGCCAAACAGCTCTTACCATTAGGAAGTTCTTCCTAATGTTTAGGCGAGCATGTGCATAAGTTAAAAGCTCATTCTTTCTGTACTTAACCATGTGCCATATGTATATATATGGCTTCCTGTCAACTTACTGCTTTTTTCCGAATGAAGCGGAGAGTGTTTGAGGACCAGGACATCCGTAGGGATACCAAGGTGCTTGTTTATAAAGCAATTATTGTCCTTTCAACCCTGCGAGACATGGACTGTCTACAGATGTCACATGCAACTCCTGGAACGATTCCATCAGCGCTGCCTCCGGAAAATCCTGCAAATCTCTTGGGAAGACAAGCAGACAAATCACAGCGTGCTGGAAGAAGCAAAGGCCACCAGCATTGAAGCGATGGTCCTGGACCGGCCACGTTGTCCGGATGCCCAACCACCAACTCCCAAAGCAGTTGCTCTACTCCGAACTCAAGAACAGAAAACAGAATGTTGGCGGGAAGGAAAAGAGATTTAAAGATGGGCTCAAAGCCAACCTTAAAAACTGTGACGTAGACACTGAGAACTAGGAAGCCCTGGCCCTTGAGCGCTCCAGCTGGAGGTCAGCTGTGACCAGCAGTGCTGTAGAATTTGAAGAGGCACGAATGGAGGGCGAAAGAGAGGAATGTGCCAAGAGGAAAGCGCTTCAAGCCAACCCTGACCAGGACTGCCTTCCACCTGGAATGCCCTCACTTCGGGAGAACATGTAGATCAATAAGGCTCCACAGTCACCTACGGACCCACCGCCAATACACTGATCTTGGAAGACTATCCTATTCCGACAATGAGGGATCGCCTAAGAATTGCGAGTTGTATTTTGGTAAGACAACAGCACTCTAGCAGAATAGGCCAAAGACCTTGTAAAAGTACAACTCCCAGGATTCCATAGCATTGAGCCATGGCAGTGTAAGTGGTGTCAAACTGCATTAATCTGACAGTGTATATAGATCAGGTCTGGGCAAATTTGGGCACTCCAGGGGTTTTGGACTTCAACTCCCACCATTCCCAACCGCCTCAGGCCCTTTCCTTAAGCCGCTTAAGCGGCTGAGGTGGAAAAGGAAGGGGCCTGAGGCGGTTGGGAATGGTGGGAGTTGAAGTCCAAAACCCCTGGAGAGCTGAATTTCTCCTCCCATTTGCACCCTCCTAAAGTAATATCCCTTTAAGGCAAGCCACGCTGAGACTCTTCCGCCATTCTCTTTTCGCGCCCCTACGTCACTGATTGACAGCCACGCGGGTTTTATGCCCCGCTGAAAAATGGACCAATGGAAGCCCGCCGCTGTAACTATGGCAATATAGCCCGCCTCCGCAGCGATTGGTCCGTTCCTCTCTTCAGCTCTGGCGCATGCGTCCTTTTCATTCACTTCCTTGCCTGTCGCAACGTTGACTAGGTCTGAGACAGAGTATAGCGTCACTTCCTGCTCTGTCCCGGGACCGACCAATTACACGTCAGCTATTTCATTTCCCGCCTCATCTCCATGGTGACAGGAAGGGCCCACCTTTTCCGGCCCCTTTGGGGAGCCGCTTGTCCCTCAACATGGTGAGTTTCCTTATTTTCAGCTCAAAACTGGGGGGCCCTCATGGCCTCGGATGGGGAGATTGTGCGCATGCGTTAACTTAGATTGCCTCTATGCTAAGTGATGGGCTGTTTAGTATGGCTGAGATGTGGAGTGTGGGTTACCTTTCCCAGGGACCATCTGGTTTTCCCAGTCCTTGCTTTCCCATGGTCTGGAAAAAAGGCGTTTTAGGAAAGGATTGAAGCTGATACCACTTCTTATGCAATTAATGAATGAATTAATTCATATACTAGATCCAGACCATGAGGGAGAGAAAGAACAGAAATTGTTAACATATTGAGCATCCCTTCTTGATGTTTTGGAGTTTTTGTATCTATGTACATAATGTCTACGCTGTAGAATTAATGCAGCTTGACACCACTTTAAACTGCAATATCTCAGTGTTATGGAATCATGGGAGTTGTAATTTGACAATGTTTTTAGCCTTTTCCGACCAATAGTACTTGTGCCTCACCAAACTACAACTCCCGTGACTCCATAGCATTGGGCCATGTCAATAATTCTGCCGTGTAGACGGATCCTTGGAGAGGGAATCCAAGCCTCAGCAAGACAAGTATTTGTTTCATATAGTCTTAACGCCGAGAGGAGGCATGATAGCCATGTATAAGTATGTGATATTATATTGACATGCTGGAATGTGTCCAGAGGAGGGTGACTAAAACGATCAAGGGTCTGAAGAACAAGCCCTATGAGGAGTGGCTTAAAGAGCTAGGCATGTTTAGCCTGCAGAAGAGAAGGCTGAGAGGAGACATGATGAGAGCCATGTATAAACATGTGAGAGGAAGTCATAGGGAGGAGGGAGCAAGCTTGTTTTCCGCTGCCCTGAAGACTAGGGCATGGAACAATGGCTTCAAACTACAATAAAGGAGATTCCATCTGAACATTAGGAAGAACTTTCCTGACTGTGAGAGCTGTTCAGCAGTGGAACTCTCTGCCCTGGAGTGTGGTGGTGGCTCCTACTTTGAAGGTTTTTAACAAAGGCTGGATGGGCATCTGTTGGGGGTGCTTTGAATGCAAATTTCCTGCTTCTTGGCAGGGATTGGACTGGATGGCCCATGAGATCTCTTCCAATTCTATGATTTTATGATTCTATGAAACTAATTTTATACACTATTTTAAATAAGTGTATGTATGAAACAAAGTTTATGTACACTGAACCACCAGAAAGAAATTGTGTCATTGCCTCAGCCAACTTATGTATTACAATTTTGGAGTATTTTTGAATTCTGGATAAAGGATGTTCAACCTGTATTGTAAATTGCCACGATGTTGGTGGATTGTCTTTCTCAAATGAACTCAAGATGGCTTGTGTAGTTGTTCTTCTAACTCCACCCTCTCCACAGCTCTATGAGGCAGAGTAGTATGAGGGAGGATATTGACAAGCTGGAACGTGTCCATAGAAGGGCAACCAAAATGATCCAAGGTCTGGAAGCCAAGCCCTGTGAGGAAGAGTTGAGGGAGCTGGGTATGTTAGCTTGGGGAAATGTTTAAGTATCTAAAAGGATGCCCTGTTCAGGAGGAAACAAGCTTGTTTTTGCTGCTTTGGAGATTAGGGGCCCTTCCAGACAGGCCCTATATCCCAGGATCTGATCCCAGGTTTTCTGCTTTAAACTGGATTATATGAATCCGCACTGCCAGATAATCTGGGATAAACAGAAAACCTGGGATCAGATCCTGGGATATAGCGCCTGTCTGGAAGAGCCCTAGGACAAAGAGCAATGGATTCAAATTGCAGGGAAAAGATTCCAACTAAGTACTAGTATTTATTTATTATTTATTTATTTAAAACATTTATATTCCGCCCTTCTCACCCCGAAGGGGACTCAGGGCGGAGCACAGCATATACACGGCAAACATTCAATGCTGGGACACAGATTCACATACAATACATATACATTAAAAAACATTTATCAAAATATTAAAATACACCATTTAAAACCGCCCTAGCCATCCACATCAAATCCAATTGGCCCTGTCATCTTTCCCACTGCCGCTTCATTGCCCTGTCCTGAAAGCTTGGTCCCACAACCAAGTTTTTACCATCCTTCGAAAGGACTGGAGGGAGAGGGCTGACCTGATCTCACCAGAAAGGGAGTTCCATAGCCGGGGAGCAATCACCGAATGTAAGAATGTCCTGGCAGCAAGATGTGTTCAGCAGTGCCTCAGTGTCCTTATCTAGAGGTTTTCAAGCAGAGTCTGGATGGCCCTCTGTCCAGAGTGCTTTGACTATGTGATCCTTTATGGCAGGGGGTTGGAGTGGGTGGCCTTCAAGGTTTCTTCCAACATTGTGATTCTTTGTATTTCCTGCCTTTAGTGTAGAGTTGAAATTGGAACTTCCCAATTCAACTCTAACGCTGATCACATTATGTAAAGGTTTAAGAAGTAATACATTTCTGCACATCAAACTACAAGAGCACATCAGGATGGACTAGGAAAGCAGAAAGTTTTCAACCTTTGTAAAGAATCCTATGTTCATTTTTTTCTCATCTGTGATGTTCAAGATGGGGGTGGCATCTCTAATCAAGTTACCATCTGTCAGTATAAATGGCTTTATAAGTTTATGAAAATAAATACGTTACGTAATCAGATCTTTAGAGAACAATGTAGGTTAAAAATAACTTTAGTAATTTAGTTCATTCGTTCAGTCATCTCCGACTCTTCGTGACCTCATGGACCAGCCCACGCCAGAGCTCTCTGTCGGCCGTCACCACCCCCAGCTCCTTCAAGGTCATTCCAGTCACTTCTGCCTGTTATGTTACTGTTAAAGACACCTAAGCTTGTTTGCATCTGCTTTAGGTTCATATGTATTCACTTACCTGAACAACTGCCATGCTATTTACAAATGCCTATTTTAATTACCTTTTACGAGCTGGTCAGAGCGTGGGCACATCATCCCTGCTACTTGATGGATTTTCTTGATGGATTACTATAGAATTGTAAATGTTACATAATGAGTCTTATTTTTGGTTTAAATGTGGATCTGCGAGGGTTTTGGATGGGATGTTTATTTGTTTTGTGTTCTTCTTTTGTACAGCATTGAATGTTTGCTGACTTAGTTGTTCACCACTCTGAGTCCCTTCGGAGAGATAGGACAGTATATAAATAAAGTTTTATTATTTATTTATTATTACTTTTGTGACAATTGTATTTTGTTCATGATCAGTAAGCAAGCTCAATTTTGAAAACTCAGTTGTAAATAAAGTAGCAAATATTACTCTTTTTGTTCACAAATATTACTATTAGTTTGTTTTTGTTCACAGGGAACAATATACTTGTTTCGCAAGTCTCAGAGATCTCTGCTTGGCAAGTTGACACAGGAATTTAGATCAGTAGCATCTGATCGGAGGGTAAGAATGTTTTTAAATATATGTAACAGAAAAGAAAGTATATCATTCAGTAACACATGTATCTGTTGAGAAATAGCTTTGAACATGTCAGTTTTAAGCAAAGATTTGTTGTTATTTGATGAAAGTCATGTTGATTTATGAGGCCCTATGAATGAGAAACTTCCAAGATCCTCATACCTTGCATGCCCTTCTCGGGTTATCCAAACTGAAGGCCATGGTTTTCTTACCAGGTTTAATTTAAATTTGTGGGGCATGCATCTATTTTTCTTCATTATTTATGGAGGAGTATATGAGATTAATTTTGGTTACATGTTCTCTCTCTATCATTCCAGTTAATTGCTCTGGTTATGCTGTTACTTGTTTTAGCAATATCTACTCAGATGGCAGTTGAGTTGAGTTAGGATCAATATTTATGCCTATGTTCAAGAGATTGGTTTATGGACTAATACAATCATTGCTCCAAGGTTAATGATGTCTTTGATGGGTACCACTGCTGTGTGTCCCTTACTTTTTAAACCAATGTTGAACCAGAATATCCTAGCTTGAATGGAACAGGGGATTTTGGTGCACTACAAGGCTTGCAAGCTGTTTTTACTAACCTGGCCTGTGATGGAAAGTGGAAAGCACATGTGACTGCAACACTTGTCTGTAGTTTTGTAAATTATAGTTTTTGGAAGCTTGGACAATACATATACTCCAGAAGATACACCATTGCTCTCTTTGAGACCCACAAGGGCTTAGAGCTGATAGTGGTCAATATTTGTGTACATGTCTACATTGCAGGGTGCTTTATTTTCTTCCAATAAAGTGTTTAATTCTTTTTCAAACTTACTTTAATTATTGTCATTTACAGTCCTGGAAAATCTTGCTGTTTGGTGCAGTAAACGTAATATGTACTGGTTTCCTTCTCATGTGGTGCAGTTCTACAAACAGCATAGGTATGTTTCTGTTTCTACATACACAGGCTTATGTAAATTGATTATAGAATTCATAAAATGAGATGTTCTTGGCTTGTAACATAGTTAGGCAATCAAGATAATAATTAAATGAGTAGATCTATGAGCATCATATGAGATTAAGCAGTGTCTTTCAGTCAGGTTTTCTTCTCATAAGATACTATGGATCATGTGATTTTTCTTGTGTCATTTCTTCCTTGATTTCCCTGGGGTTTAATAGGACAACAAGATTAATTAGCCTATGTTCCTTAAAGCTTTGTCTTTTTTTTGTTTTGTTTTTTGTTTTTTTGGCCTAGAATCATAGAATCAAAGAGTTGGAAGAGACCTCATGGGCCATCCAGTCCAACCCCCTGCCAAGAAGCAGGAATATTGCATTCAAATCACCCCTGACAAATGGCCATCCAGCCTCTGCTTAAAAGCTTCCAATGAAGGAGCCTCCACCACACTCCGGGGCAGAGAGTTCCACCGCTGAACAGCTCTCACAGTCAGGAAGTTCTTCCTAATGTTCAGATGGAATCTCCTCTCTTGTAGTTTGAAGCCATTGTTCCGCGTCCTAGTCTCCAAGGAAACAGAAAACAAGCTTGCTCCCTCCTCCCTGTGGCTTCCTCTCACATATTTATACATGGCTATCATATCTCCTCTCAGCCTTCTCTTCTTCAGGCTAAACATGCCCAGTTCCCTAAGCCGCTCCTCATAGGGCTTGTTCTCCAGACCCTTGATCATTTTAGTCGCCCTCCTCTGGACACATTCCAGCTTGTCAATATCTCTCTTCAATTGTGGTGCCCAGAATTGGACACAATATTCCAGGTGTGGTCTAACCAAAGCAGAATAGAGGGGTAGCATTACTTCCTTAGATCTAGACACTATGCTCCTATTGATGCAGGCCAAAATCCCATTGGCTTTTTTTGCCGCCACATCACATTGTTGGCTCATGTTTAACTTGTTGTCCACGAGGACTCCAAGATCTTTTTCACACGTACTGCTCTCGAGCCAGGCGTCACCCATTCTGTATCTTTGCATTTCATTTTTTCTGCCAAAGTGGAGTATCTTACATTTGTCACTGTTGAACTTCATTTTGTTAGTTTTGGCCCATCTCTCTAATCTGTCAAGATCGTTTTGAATTCTGCTCCTGTCCTCTGGACTATTGGCTCTCCCTCCCAATTTGGTGTCGTCTGCAAACTTGATGATCATGCCTTCTAGCCCTTCATCTAAGTCATTAATAAAGATGTTGAACAGGACCGGGCCCAGGACGGAACCCTGCGGCACTCCACTTGTCACTTCTTTCCAAGATGAAGAGGAAGCATTAGTGAGCACTCTCTGTGTTCGTCCACTTAACCAATTACAGATCCACCTCACCGTAGTTTTGCCTAGCCCACATTGGACTAGTTTCCTTGCCAGAAGGTCATGGGGGACCTTGTCGAAGGCCTTACTGAAATCCAGGTACGCTACATCCACGGCATTCCCCGCATCTACCCAGCTTGTAGCTCTATCGAAGAAAGAGATCAGATTAGTCTGGCATGACTTGTTTTTGATAAATCCATGTTGACTATTAGTGATGACTGCATTTGTTTCTAAGTGTTTGCAGACCGCTTCCTTAACAATCTTTTCCAGAATCTTGCCCGGTATCGACGTGAGGCTGACCGGACGGTAGTTGTTTGGGTCATCCTTTTTTCCCTTCTTGAAGATTTGGACCACATTGGCCCTCCTCCAATCTGCTGGAACTTCTCCCGTTCTCCAAGAACTCTCAAAGATGGTTGCCAATGGTTCCGAAATGACTTCCGCTAGTTCCTTCAATACTCTTGGGTGTAGTTGATCTGGCCCTGGGGACTTGAACTCATTAAGAGCGGCCAGGTATTCCTGGACGACTTCTTTCCCAATTTGGGGTTGGATGTCCTCCAATCCCTCATCCACTCCATCTTGCTGAGGTTGAAGACTCTCTTTTTGTGAGAAGACCGAGGCAAAGAAGGCATTAAGAAGGCCTTATTTGAATCTCACTGGCACTATTTGTGCTCAAAGTTTTTGGAAATTTCTAGGAGTTGGCTGTTGCAGTATGCCTCCAACACTGCAGTTGAATTTCTCAACATCAGAAATGTGCAAGGAGAAGATCCAGCATGCTATAGGGCAATGGTTCTCAACCTGTGGGTCCTCAGATGTTTCGGCCATCAACTCCCTGAAATTCTAACAGCTGGTAAATGGGCTGGGATTTCTGGGAATTGTAGGCCAAAACACCTGGGAACTCACAGGTTGAGAACCACTGCTATAGGGTATTTATTACTTATGAGGCGAGTTGATTGTAACATTTTCAACCATTTTTATTTTCATCTCAAGGTGAATAGATCATAATAAAGTTCAGGGATGGACAATGTTTGATTTTCCAGTTATTGCTGGGCCACAGTTCTCACTATCCCATATTCTAGGCTAAAGCAGTTGCAGTCTAGCAACACTGGAGAACCACATGTTTGCTAACCAAATAAAGATTACTTTAATTTCTGTGTTACCTTTTTGCACATCTCCCCTTCCCCTTTTTGCACATCTCCCCTTCCCCGGCTGGAGTTAATGGGTTGATTCCCCCTTATATTCTGTGATCTTGGCAAAAATCTCAAATCTGTATGCACACATGACAGCTGATGCCCATGGGAACTTTTGTTTAGAGTGCAGTTGGATAGAAGTGGGACTGAAGAGTAGAGGTGACTGGTGGGTCAAGACAGGAGAAATGCATTTTGAGCAGGAGAGATAGAAAGAAGGCGATGGGGCGGGCGCGGGCGGGGGGAAGAGCTTGTATCTCAGATCTGATATCAGCATTTTGGTCTTGGAAGAAGGATGGCTGAGGCCATCCTCAGACACCAGAGGTACAAGTTCTGAGAAATTGGAGAACTCGGATATAAGAAAGGTACTAATGCTTTGTGATGGGAACAATGCTTGTAAAAAGTTTAAAACTATGACAGTGTGGTTTGTGTCTATAAAGAAATAAAACAAATGTGCTTATTATGTAGGAAGTGGTAGATAGCCTAATGAAATGTTTACCCTTAAAAATAACCCTACATCTCTTTTTGCACAAGATAAGCTGTAAATTGATCATTTCTACGAGAGTAATCTTTAGGTAATCTTCTTTCCACAGCTTTAACTGCATATACCTACCTAACAATATTCGATCTGTTCAGGTATGCTTACTTATTAAATTTCTGAATATGAGAAATGTATATGCTGTGTTCATACCCTGCTATCCAAAACCATAGGTAGTGGTTAACATATTTTACTTATTACATGTAAGTAAACCCCAGGTGATACACCAGGTTAAACTGCTGAGCTGCTGAACTTGCTGACCAAAAGGTCAGCGGTTCGAATCTGGGGAGTGGGGTGAACTCCCACTGTTAGTTCCAGTTTCTGCCAATCTAGCAGTTCGAAAACATGCAAATGTACGTAGATCAATAGGTACCGCTTCTGTGGGTAAGGGTGCTCCATGCAGTCATGCTGGCCACATGACCTAGGAGGCGTCTACGGGCAATGCTGGCTCTTTGGCTTAGAAGTGGAGATGAGCATGCACACACCTCACCCCCAAAGTCGGACACAACTAGACTTAATGTCAAGGGGAAACCTTTCCCTTACATGTAAGTATGAAATTTCATAGGCTAACAGTGGTATCATATACTGTACATGCCTATATGGAATTACATCCTATTGTGTTCAAGGAGTTTATTCTTCTTCAAAGTGAGTGGACATAGAATTTCAGCCTAAATGTATTTTTGGTATCTGACATGACATTGCAAAACTTTCTCAAGCTGTTTTCCGAGATAATCTAAAAAGAAAGCTCTAGGGTTTTCAGGAAGGGAGAATACAGCATGTTACTAAATTGAGTGCAATTAAGAGAAAGTTAAGAATCTGTAAGCTACAGTGACTTCTGTATAACTTTCTAAAACAGGTGCTTGCGAAGCATGCAGCCCATAGGTTTCATATGATAGCAAAACCCATTTTGAGACCCTTAACATCTCCACATTTTTCAAAACGTTGGATGTTACTTTAAAAACAACCTCTTCAAGTTTAAAATAAGCTTAAAACATGGAAACGTTGCTTTCCGTGCCCTATAGACTTTTCAAATTGTAACCTTTTTTCATGGGAGGCAGGAGGGATAAGGACACTCCCCAAGATTCTTCACAGGGGTCAGTCGCATCCACCAAATTATTGACCATAGAGCAGCATTACGTAAGCAGGTGAGAGGGACTCTGGCCTATTCCAGTTTTCTTCTTAGTGTGAGAATTCATAGTGGAAAAAGAAATAAGCACTTTCTTTTTTTGGAAAACTCAGTGTTATTTATTTATTTATTTTATTTTGTAGATTTATTAATCAAAATGTATAAGTATACATCATTTCCCCTTTTTACAATATCTTAGTCAAAAGATTATACCCTATCTTATACAAATCAGTAGTGAAAAAGAATCAAACACACCTTAAGTATGCTTCTTCTCTGTGTTTAACTTTCCTCAGTTATAATTTATGCTACATATATCCATACTACACCTCAGTGTGTATTGATAGGAGCTTTACAAGTTGGAATGAGAGGGTTCAGGAAAGTAAACAAATCTCTGTTATGTAGTTTAAGTATACTGGTTGATATGGGGGCAAAAAAATCAATTCAAAATTAATTCAAAAATGTAAATAAATTTTGGGGGGGCTTCTGGGGGTCCTGAAATTAAGGGTTGTAAGGGCCACATGTAACTCTGGGGCCATACTTTGTCCAGCCATTCCTTAAGAAATTCTAAGTCCTACCAAAGGAAATCATTTGAATGTTAAATTTAACATTTTGAAAATTGGGAATTCATCTGAATTTTAACTAGCTGGATCTTACTTCATTTAATTTTCACTTGAAACTTGCTTTGTTTCTTTAGCTTAATAACTTGCTTGATAAGTTATTGGGTGATGATGAAAAAGCCTTCCCCAGCCTATTCATTTGGGTAAGTTTGCAAAATATGTTGATACTTTGAGTGACTTTCATTTCCTTAAAGAATGAGAAAAGTGTTTAATAGTTCTTGGAGGTTTTTTTAGGGACCAAAGTCTATTTATGAATCCATGCCAGATTTTTACAAAATTCTTTAGCTAACTATAAGAAAGCTAGAACCTGCATACCAAAATAGCATTGTATTCAAGGCTTACTGCTAGTCTTGTTTTATAGCCTTGGCTATGGGCTTTTGAACAGAGATTTTCATATTTACATTTGATCTTCCACCTCCACAGATTCTTCATTCAAGGGGTCAAATACCCATTGCTTGAAAATATCTTTTTAAAAAGTAATTTTGTAATTTTATACAAGGGACATTATATTACTATGCCAGCATATATATGGAGATCTCGGCATCCATGGATTTTTGTATCCGTATGGGGATCTGGAGCCAAATCCCAGCAGATACCAATTGGGTATAATTCACTAAATCACTCCTAGCACAAAGTTTGCTCTTTATATTATTTATTTTTTAATTAGAGAGTCAAGGGTAATTTTATTCAGTCTCATATTTAATCAAATGGCAACAAATCCTCTTTTTAATGGGATTTACTTTCTGCTAAATGTTCTTACCTGTTCATGTTTATTTCTCAAATTTTAGGTTTGAGAGATTTGAAGTCTTAGCAGTATTTGCCTCAACAGTTCTGGCACAGCTTGGGGCACTTTTTATACTAAAAGAAAGGTAGGAATATCTGCTACAATAGTTTTTCTTGCAGTTGTTACAAACAATAGTGGGATGATTTATTAGCAGCAATCAAGTACTGGAATCCCCAAATTTGATGTGACTAATATATTTCTTAAAAGAAATATGTGCTGACTTTAACAGCGATTCTCTTATCTTGCAGTGCAGAGAGATTTCTGGAGCAACCAGAGATTCACACGTAAGTGCTTTTAATATACAGATATGTGGACTTAATTGTTGTAGGAATAAAATAACATAATCAAAACATGGTTGATTTTACATAATATTACGCTATGTAATACTATATAGAGATTTAAATAACATTTATGCTGTCTTCAGATCAATCGCAAAAATGTGTTTAGATTAATATTCCAGATTGTGTCTAAGTAGAAATCAGTTCAAACAATTAGTTAATGACCTGATTTCAAAATATTGTTGCAGCTGAGAATTTTGAGTTCATTGATATAACTGAATCTTTTTGTGCAATCTGACTTTCTTGTATCTTAGCTTTTAGAATATGATGAATACATAGATAAAAAAGTTAAAATATTAACAGGTTAGATCTGATTTAATAGAAATCGAATAAGACTGAAATGTGATATGTAAGGGATACTAAAACTGTCTAATGTAACTCACTATAGTACCTTGTTATCAAATTAAGGGGCATTAATTAATTTCATTACTCCTTTTAGGGGTCGATTGTTGGTTGGCACCTTTGTGGCACTCTCTTTCAACTTGTTTACAATGCTATCTGTTAGAAACAAACCTTTTGCTTATGTCTCTGAAGGTACGTAGTAAGTAAATAAGGAGAAAAATCATAAAATGAGTGAATATTTGTATGTTCAAAATGTTGTTTACTAGTCAATAATTATTGTGACCAAACCTTTTTCTATTCACAATATGCGTAAAGGTGTCGGGGGAAAGGATGAATGTTCTCTGGTTAGAAGTAAGGGAGCTCCAACCCCAAAAAAATTATCATTCCAAACACCTATATGAGAGCTGGATTAGTCACAACCACCTACCTACCTACCTACCTACCTACCTACCTACCTACCTATCTTTTTCTGTTAATAAAGAAGTAACTGTTGTGTTAATTTTTTTCATGAGAGTAAAAGGCCATAACTTTTTAGACCAACTGTTCACAGATAAATAGTATAGCCCTTTCTTTTTTTTTTTGTAGAATCTATGTACAAAAATGCTGCTATATATTTCCTAGTAATATTTATGGCAATTCTTTTGGTAAACAAAAAAGCAAACACAAACTTGGCAAAATATTATTTTTATTAGTTTTTGTTTCCATTTGATTGAAAACCTGCAATTGTTTCAATGTTTTGGGCAGTTCTGCCACATGTGGGAAAATACCAACAATAGTGGAGTAGCACTTTTGAAATTATTTATCAGTATACACATATTTTGATTGAAATTTATTTTGATGTGAAGACTTTCCATAATGAAGAATATACATTATATTATAGAACCAGTTGCAGTGACCACTCTGAGGGCAGCTGAAATAGAATAGATTTTTGAAGATAAGACAGCAGACCCATAAGTGTTTTGAAACATCTTTGATGCATTTTCAGTTAATTGGTGACTATTTACAAACTTTACTTCAGGGTGGGCTATAATGTGTGAAACCTGATGAATTTGATACCATAAAAATTTCCTAGCTTTTAGTAAGTTTGAATTTTGACTTGGATTTATTCTAAGATGCCATTGATTGTAAGATGCATAGTAATATCAGCACTGCCAACAGAAGAAAAAGCTATATATACTGTATATATATGCACCTGTTGTTGTAAGAGTCACCTCATTTTTAGTGATGTTTATATAGGGGAAAGTGCATCTTATAACTGAAGAAATACACTAAGTCTTGCAAATGTATAGTTCTGTAGCTTCCTATCTGTTCAGCTGAGAAAATTTGTCCTCCCCAACCAAGTAAAAAGTAACAAAAATGGTTGAAGAAGAGATGCTAATGTGTATATTGTTAAGATTAATAAAATATTATTTTGAACATGACTTGCTATAGATTTCTAGTAATGTTAGATTTACAACTGTGAGGTATTAATTTTTCATGGTTACACATCTCCTTTTTTGTAGCTGCAAGTACAAGTTGGCTTCAAGAGCATGTTGCAGATCTCAGTAGGAGGTAAGATTGAGAATGAGAGTATAATTATGTAATTTGCAGGGCTTTGACTCCCAGGCTTTGGCTCAGATCTGCCTTTCCCGCCTTCTCATTTGAAAGAGGTTTTATGATCATTGTGGCTCCCACAATGGACCTTGCTGGCATGATATTTTAACTTTCTGTACTTTCCTGTAAGATTAGTAGCTAAACACAGTTGTATTGCATTTTCAAGACAAGATATGAAACATCTATTGTGTTGCTAAAATCTAAAATGCTAGGTTTGAGTAGTTTGGTCTAGTTATGAGGAATGATTTGGAAACTAGATTGACTCATGAAGCAAACTGCTGTAGACTTCAATTTGGCCTCTGTAGTGAGAGTTCCCTGGAAAATGTTGTGGTCAGCAAATAAATCAAAAGTGCCCAAGGGAAAAAAAGGAAGCTCGAATGTATGCAACACATGTTCCTATAATATATTCCTCCTGCAATATTTTGAAATGTCCTTCTCTGAAACTAAGTATAAAGTTTCTGTCTCTTGGCACATTTGAAGTGTTTCAAAGGGAACTTGGACCTTGCAAATTTCCAAGTGTGGGCAAAAGGGAAATGCTCCTATCCCATATAAAAATACATTGCAGTCATTACACTGCTATTTTTTTTAGCCCAGCTTTATCCCTTGGAACAAGTACCAGCATTCCTGGATCTCAGACTACTTCTTAATTAATGTATTTCTCAATTTTTGATGGAACGAGTCTCAAAGCAGCTTATTAGAAGACTTCAAAATGCACATGTACATAAATATACACATGTATACACGGCCCAGCAACCATTAGTCTTTTACCCAGTGGAATTGCAGTGTACTTCTCTGCAGTCTCAGAGGAAATGGCTCTTTGATCCAAAATTCTTTTGTCTGGCAAGGGAAGGATTAGCTAGAGATGCCAAGGATTGCTCTCTGTGTTGTGGAATTTCTGGGATGACCATTTGATCATATCATTTACAAAAGTTTAAAGCATTTTGTACATCTGGAAGCCATTAATGGAGGTTGCAAGAATCCCTAGTAAATAGGTTTTCTCAAGCCAGGAAATACTTGAGTTGTTGCTTAACTATTCAGAAGTTTAAATATTATCCTTGGTAATATTACCTTAAAGGCCCTGGTAGCTTGAAAAGTAACAATCAGATTAGAGAGAGAGAGAATAACAATTTTGTTCCTGATTATTTCAGATGGTCACACTTCTCTAGCTGGATATTCTCCAGATACTTATATTCCTCCATCTTCTGTAATATAATAACTAGGCACATAATTCTTCTGAGTTTATTTCCCTTCTTTGGAGAGAGCAAGTATAAAACTCATCACTATATAATAAATGGGGCACATGGTTGTTTATCTAGTAGTTGCCATTACTAATTATATCACTTGTTGTTTTCTTCTAGTTTGTGTGGTATCATTCCGGGTTTGAGCAGCATCTTTCTTCCACGCATGAATCCTTTCGTCTTGATTGACCTTGCTGGAGCTTTAGCTCTCTGCATTACATACATGCTTATCGAAATTAAGTAAGTGCATCTATATATGACATAATATTAACAGATATTTATTAGGGGAGAAAAGATGCCCACTCTAACGTTGTGTTTGTTTCTTTCAGTAATTACTTTGCTGTTGATACTGCCTCTGCAGTAGCCATTGCCTTGATGACGTTTGGGACCATGTATCCCATGAGTGTCTACAGTGGGAAAGTGTTGCTTCAGGTGAGAGAACACGGGAAGCCATTTGCAGTGGTGTTTTACAGTTTGCCCAATATTCCCAGCACCTTCTTACTTCAACAACAGAACAAGAAAGTGCTGGGGAAATTCATAGACATAAAATTTCTTGTTTTGTGAAATGTACAAAATGGATCTCAGAAAATCAAAGACGATACAGGAACACCATCATTTCCTGTCTATGTAGACAATATTATGATGATTTACTATTTAAGAACTTGGTCCTGAGAGATGCTTTGCATATTTTAAGGAAACTGTACAAAAATAGGCACTTGAAAGAGTTTGTAGAGGTGTTTGACCTCTTGAGAGCTTATTTTGTTGGCCTAGCTTCTAGCTTTCTACCATCTGTCATCTTAACTATATAAACCTGATGCAGAAGATGCAGTTAAAGGTAAACGTTTCCCCTGACATTAAGTCTAGTCGAGTCTGATTCTGGAGGGTGGTGTTCATCTCCATTTCTAAGCTGAAGAGCCAGTGTTGTCCATAGACACCTCCAAGGTCATGTGGCCAGCATGACTGCATGGAGCACCGTTACCTTCCCGTAGAAGCGATACCTTTTACTACTTACATTTGCATGTTTTCGAACAGCTATGTTGGCAGAAGCTGGGGCTAACGGCAGGAGCTCACCCTGTACCTCGGATTGAAGCATCGACCTTTTGGTCAGCACGTTTAGTAGCTCAGGAGTTTAACCTATTGTGCCACCAGGGGGCTACTGGAAAAGGCAGAGAGGCTGTTCATTCCTAAGAGTGAATTTCCAAGCTGATAAATGAATAAGAGTGTATGTAAAACAAAAAGCAGAGCCCACAGAAGGTGATACCCTTATTGGCTAACCAAAATGTATTAAAAGTGTAATGCAAGTTTTCAAACCTCCATTAGTTAAGATGTTAAAAAATCATTTAGAGAAAGAGGAAGTGCTAGTGTTGGGGCCACATTTTATTTCAGATATTGCTGTTGGTTTGGAGACAAAAATGAGAGACAGTAAAAAATTAAAGTCCATTAGCAGCAGAAAGGTAACTGCTATTGGGATCCAGGATATGCCCTTTTTATTTTGTTTCAATTTGCTGTATGGACAACACAGCCATACCTTGAATACGTTTCCAAGAGTTTATTTAGTCACCTTATGATAGGAAGTTATTCTTCAGAAAACTGAAAATGCGGGCAGCAAATCCTGATTGGACTAATAGCAGCTGCTTTTCTCCCCAGGGCCTCATTTAATAATAAATTTCAAAAAAAGCTTGTTTTTAAAAATTACATTCAAAAAAGAAGATACAATTTCAATTCACCACAATTAGGAAATGTTTTTAACAGATTTTAATAGTTTTGTGATTTGAATTGTTTACAATCCATTCCATTTTAATGTTAATATTTTGTTGGTTTGAAATCGTGATTTGTATTGTTTTTAGTGTTGTGAGCTGCTTTGAGTCATATTTTAGAGACTCAAAGGGTTTAAAGAGTACTTTGTGCTTTTCCTGCATGGTAGGGAGTTGGACTTGATGGCCCAGATGTCTCTTCCAATGCTATGATTTTATAGGAGAGGAAAGCAGAATACAAATGAATATAATATTATTATTAATAATTACTATTATTATTGTTTCATTTGGTTTTGGCTGAGTTGTAATTTAGAAACAATAACCCAGCGACTTTGAGCCTCAAAAGAACAACCTGTCAGCTCATTCTCTGCCATTTGGTATATTTTAATTTGATATATCAACAAGGATGCTGTTCATAAACTGCCGCCCACTGAGTACTTTCTCTGGCAAAACTCTATTTGGACAATATGTCTTGTCTTTTCCCTCCCACTCAAGCCGTGTGAAACAACCAGATGGTTCCCAGATACCTTAATTGCTCATGTTTTAGCAGCACTGTAATAGCTGAGTGTTACAATGTATTGTCCTTTGTGTTGCATTGCTCTTATCTCTGGTATGTGGAGCTAGTTTTAAAAATAGTTTGGATCAGGAATGGAAATCACGTGGATCCATAAATCGTTCAGGACCTGCCTGTCTTCGTGACTGCATCTTCCCTTACAAACCTGCATGATCTTTAAGATCTTCTGGGGAGGCTCTTCTCTCGCTCCCATCCTTGTTACAAGCACGGTTGGTGCGGTCGAGTGAGAGGGCCTTCTTGGTGGTGGACCCCCAGCTCTGGAACTCCCTCCCCAGGGAGATTAGCTAAGACCACCCTGTCCATCTTCCACAAAGATCTAAAAATGTGGATGTTCCGCTGTGCTTTTGACTAGACAATCCCTCAGGCAATCTTGGCCCCAACCATGACCCAAAATCTCGTCCTCGCACTTTACTACTGTTCTGTACCCAGAGTAATAATGCTCCATCTTACATTGCCCTCTATTCCTAATGTTGCCATTTGACTTATGCACTTTATCCATTTTCACGATTGATTTGCACCAGTCTTCCAACCTGTGCCCAGAAATTGACTATTATTGCAGGTTCATTGGTTGTTGGTTAGATGCGTGCTCTTATATTCTGCTATAATGTTGTTTTATTCTGTTGTTTATGTATTTTAGTGTGTTATATTTTAACTATGTTTGATAGGGCTAATCCCCATGTAAGCCACCCCGAGTCCCTCTGGGGAGATGAAGGCGGGGTATAAAAATAAAGTTAATAATTTTATTTAATAATAATAAATCCCTCAAAGAGCACAGGGCCGCCTCCTGCACTTTCTCTGGGCCCTGGTTTGAAGGGTTCAAATTGCTCATCCTAAAAGACTTCCAAAGCAGTGAGTCTCCACCAGAGCTATAATGAGGGCTTGCTTTAGTGCAGTAGTTCTCAATCTGTGGATCCCCAGGTGTTTTGGCCTGCAACTCCCCGAAATCCCAGCCAGTTTATCATCTGTTAGGATTTCTGGGAATTCAAGGCCAAAACATCTGGGGACCCACAGTGGAGAAGCACTGCTCTTGTGAGTATGTTCTTTTTGTTTCTCACTCCCAGTAGGAGTAAACCAGTCATTTTCAGTTCTCAAAAATGCTTGCAATTTACATTTTGAGAGATTAGTTGGCTTGTGGGTGGCCTGGTGGCTTAGAAGCTTCAGTAGGAGAGAATGCCACTCCCTGGATGTATACAAAATACACAACACTGATTCTGTAATGGTGGTCCCTTTTAAAGCCCGAAATGGCTTGGGACCAGGTTATTTGAAAGACTACTTCCGTCTGCATGAACTTGTCTATGCTGACATGCCTTCCAAGAGGTGTGCTAAAAACAGTAGGCTTTTTGGGGTGGGCCCCCCCTGGCTCATCCTAAATAGGCATCAAAAACCTGGATGTTCTAGCCTGCCTTTCAGTAAATGAATATCTTTTTGTAATAAATTTGAGCTTTTAGTACTGTTATCACTTTACTGGTATAATACTATCACTTAAGTGGTATAAAAAAACTCCAGTAAAATGGAGCTTTTAGGACTGCTATCTTCACTTAGTTAATTGGTTTTCTGTGCCAGCGGGCATTTGGGGGAAAATGAGGAGCATGTTGCTGGGAAGGTTGTGAGTAGGATTCTGGAGGGATTGGCAGTTTTAAACATAATTGTAATTGCATTTATTATATCTTAACTGTATTTTAAAATATGTCCATGGCACAAATATTTTATTTTATTTATGAATTATTTATTTATTTGCATTTGCCATTTTTAAATTTATAGGGTTGTAAATGTGAGCCCTTGTGAGTCCCCATGGATAGAAAGATGTGGTAGAAATCAAGTAAACAAATAATAAATAAATTGTTGTGTTTAATTGTTTGGTATCAACTATCGGGGGTGTTTTGAATGTGATTATCCTGCTTCTTGGCAGGGGATGGGACTGGATGACCCACAGGGTCTCTTCCAACTCTGTGATTCTATCTTGACAAGGCTTTGCTCTAAAAAGCAATTTAAAAGTATTTCATGAAAAAATACTGTAGAAAACAAAGCTGGTCTTAAAATAATATACATATTTTTAATTTCTTTTTCCCCAGACAACACCACCTCATGTGATTGGACAGCTAGATAAACTTATAAGAGAGGTAAATAAATGTGTTTGTATGAAATGCTTCTAGGCATGTTTGGGTAATGAGCCCCACTGGCCCATGGGGTATCAGAGGGTCCTCATCCTGTGATTTTGATAAGACTATATGGTACTGATAGTAATAGTAGTCCTCATCTCATGGGATATGGTTCTGGAAGAAGGTTGGTCATGGCTGGAGGATATGAAGGGGCATTTGAGATCTGCTCTTTAGAAGCTGTGAAAAGATTTGCATGTGGAATGCTATTTCTGCGTGGTCTAAATCTTGCTTTTTAAAAAAGTACAAGATGGAACATAAGTTCTAATACACATAGAATGTTTTGCTTTAAAACTAGATAAATGGTATCAGCTTCAATGCCAAAAGGTCATGATATAAATGTGTTCTGATCTTCAGTTATAATCCCCTAGAAATCTATCTTGGTCCAGTTATTGACAGTTTGTAGAAAATATACATGCTTTGTTGGAGTCAGGAAATCAAAAGGACTGCTGTAAATATTTACTAGTAATTCAAAATTACATATAAACTTTAAATTAATTCAATATGTACCTTAATATATATGTTAAAGGTAAAGGCTTCCCCTTGATGTTAAGTCTAGTCGTGTCTGACTCTGGGGGGTGGTGCTCATTTCCATATGTAAGCCGAAGAGCCAGCGTTGTCCATAGAAACCTCCAAGGCCACGTGGCCAGCATGACTGCGTGGAGTGCTGTTACCTGCCTGCCAAGGCGGTACCTATTGATCTACTCATATTCGCATGTTTTTGAACTGCTGGGTTGGCAGAAGCTGGGGCTAACAGTGGGAGCTCACCCCGCTCCCTGGATTTGAATAGCTGGTCAGCAAGTTCAGCTAACCAAAATGCACAAAACATGTAATGCAAGTTTTCAAGCCTCCATTAGTTAAGATGTTAAAAATTATTTAGAGAAAGAGGAAGTGCCAGTGTTGGAGCCACATTTTGTATCAGATATTGCTTTTGATTTGGAGACAAAGATAAGGAACAGTAACATTTTGAAGTCCATTAGCAGCAGAAAGGTAACTGCTATTGAGATCTAGGGTGTGCCTGTTTTATTGTGTTTCAGTTTGCTGTATGGACAACACAGCCATACCTTGAATATGTTTTCAAGAGTTTATTTAGTTACCTTATAAGGATAGGATATATACTCTTAAATATATATGTTACACATGTTTATATTGGAAAGTTCACAGATTTCAAAGTGGCTTAAGTAAGCTTGGCTATTTATAAAACCCTAGTGAATTATTAAAGAAATTTCAGTGTTTATTGTTTGTCCTGATCTAGGTTTCTACACTGGATGGCGTCTTAGAAGTTCGAAATGAACACTTCTGGACATTGGGGTTTGGCTCATTGGTATGCACCTTTTTCTTATGTCATATTCTTTAAAAAGCGAAGTATCATGAATTAATCAGTCACTTAATAAGTCCAATAAGTCCTATTGCGAACAATATTCTAAATCTTTCAGATCATTACATAATTCCCATGCCGCCAATAATTTCTTGGCTAGGCCAGGGTTACATTTGCTATTGTTTTGACTTCAAGTCATTTCTGACCTATGGCAACCATAAGTTACACCTGTCATAGGGTTTTCTTAGCAAGATTAGTTCAGAGGCGGTTTGCTGTTCCCTTTTCTCAGAATGAGAGAGTATGACTTCCTTTTCAAGGTCAGGCAGTGGGTTTCTGGGGCTGAGTGGAGATTCAAACCCTGGTCTCCATAGTCATCGTCCAACACTCAAAACATTTGACCATGCTGGCATATACGAAATATGCTTCACTTGCAGAGACCATTATCCCGGCTGCATAGTATGTAAATGTTACTTACCAGAAGTTCATGAACTTTTTCTTTGCTTTCTAGGCTGGATCAGTCCATGTGAGAATTCGAAGAGATGCCAATGAACAAATGGTTCTTGCTCATGTGACCAATCGATTATGTACATTAGTGTCTACTTTGACAGTTCAGATATTCAAGGACGACTGGATCAGACCTGCCTTGACCACCGGACCTATTGCGAACAATATGCTGAATCTTTCAGATCATTACATAATTCCCATGCCGCCTCTAAAGCTTGCGGAAAACTCTAGCCCTTCCACATCCACTCCAGCTAAAGTAAGCAGCCCCCCTCCTGAATTCTCTTTTAATACTCCTGGCAAAAATGTGAACCCGGTCATTCTGGCAAACACTCAAACAAGGCCTTATGGACTTGGCTTCAACCGCGGGACTGTACCGTACAGCAGCGTCTTCGCTTCAGGATTGGGAGTGCCAGCAATAGGGGTGACCCAGGGATTCAGGACTGGTCTGATAAATGCCCCCCACAGATACGGAACAGGCACGCGGGGTCAGTCCAGACCTTAATAAACTATTTCTTGTATTTATTGTTTGAATTTATTTTCCATCTATTTTATCACTTATTTTTCTATAGGACCATTCAATTTTTTAAGGTGTATGGAATCCAAAAACTCATGAAAATGTGTGCTCTGATTTAGTCTATGATGATTATAACTCCTTGACTGTGAACTGATTTGCTCCTTGTCACTTTCTAGCTTGGCAATGAGTGACCTGCTTCATATTTTTATTGCTTCTTTTGTAATTGACTATGGCACAATATATGAACGAGTCTCCTGAAAATTTTTTACCAAAGGAGTGTGTGAGCAAGTTGGTGATCAACTTAGGCAGAAAAAATGAAATGCAAAGATACAGAATGGGTGATGCATGGCTCGAGAGAAGTACGTGGGAAAAAGATCTTGGACTCCTCATGGACAACTAGTTAAACATGAGCCAACAATGTGATGCAGCAAAAAAAGCCAACAATGTGATGCAGCAAAAAAAGCCAATGGGATTTTGGCCTGCATAAATATGAGTCTAGTGTCTAGATCGAGGGAAGTCATGCTACCCCTCTCTTCTGCCTTAGACCACCTCTGGAATACTGAGTCCTATTCTGGGCACCACAATTGAAGGGAGATATTGACAAGCTGGAATGTGTCCAGCGGAGGGCAACTAAAATGATCAAGGGTCTGGAGAACAAGCCCTATGAGGAGCGGCTTAAAGAGGCTGAGAGGAGACATGATGGCCATGTATAAATATGTGAAGGGAAGTTATAGGGAGATGGGAGCAAGCTTGTTTTCTGCTGCCCTGGAGACTAGGACACAGAACAATGGCTTCAAACTACAAGACAGGAGATTCCATCTGAACATTAAGAAGAACTTCTTGACTGTGAGAGCGGTTCAGCAGTGGAACTCTCTGCCCTGGAGTGTGGTGGAGGCTCCTTTGGAGGCTTTTAAACAGGCTGGATGGCCTTCTGGAGGGGTGCTTTGAATGCAATTTTCCTGCTTCTTGGCAGGCAGTTGGATTGGGTGGCCCATGAGGTCTCTTCCAACTCTATGATTCTATCAATGAAAGAATTCTCTGTGAATGAAAATTTCTTGATCCTTTTTCTATAATATTGGTGCCTCTGATGTAATCAACCATTTTTAAAATTTGCATTTTCCTTAAGTAAAAAAGATGTTTTCATAAAACTACGTCTCTTGGAGGTCCAGGGGATACTGTTGGAAGTCTGTTTGATGTTCAAGGACCCCCCCCCCCCCCGGAAGGATTGAGAAAGGCAGGGTACAAATATCTGAAATAATAACATACAAGAGTTTGTCAGCTACTTTGTGGTTGTAACTACTGCAGATTAGTGTTTATTCCTATCTTTTTGATGGTATGCTGGGAAATAAAATACCACTTAGAGTGCTGCTTTTAAATTATTGTCAACCCTGTGTGAAGTGTACAGTGGGAGAGCATAGGTATGAACAACCGAAACTTTGATCATCCTACTAGTCTCCTGACATTTGTGGAAACAATAACTTTAACATCAGAACACAGTTGCTTTTAAAGCCAAAATTACTTGAGATCCGGTTGTTTCAAAGACCACCTCCATCTATAATTTAAGATGTAACTTGAAAGCAGATATTGGGAACAAAATTACACATTTTGCTTTGACCCATGGATAAGTAGAGGAGAAAGATTAGGGACACACAGCAAACACGTATTTTCTTCTCTTTTTAGAAATGCCTAGTGGGAACAAACCTAGGAAGATATAAAGAAAATTAGACTGCTTTGAATGCAATTATCCTGCTTCTTGGCAGGGGTTTGGACTGGATGGCCCTCTTCCAATTCTATGATTCTAACTCGGTGATTCTGGCCATGAAAGCCTTTGACAACACATCTTCCCGTTGTGCTTCAAAAAGGTCTCAGTCAAGAAAAGCAGGGCTGTGGGGAGGAATTTCAGGATCTTTCCTACATAGACAGATACGCACACATTTCTACATAGCCTTATTGGACAGATCTATCATTCAGTATATGACGAATAGAGGTTGTTGTGGTTGTCCATCTGTTTCCAGGACGGGACATTTTTAGTTCAGTAGTAACTGGATACATTGTGCTGTCACCAGCAGGTAGTTAGAGCGAGAGCTAATGTAAGCTCTCCTTGATCCTTCAGCAATATGGCTCCTTTCTTAGACCATCAAGAGCTCAGTGAAGTATCTCTTCCCACTCAGTTTGAGGAGTTTGGTGAGGAATTACTTGTGGAGTAAAAAGGTGGTAGTAGTTGGAATATTGGACATAGAATAACATTTAAAATACAATGTGCATTTCTTCTTTTTCCTTGTATTCTATCCACTGTACAGAACTTTAATGTATTATATTAAGCCAGTAGTTCTCAACCTGTGGTTCCCCAGATGTTTTGGCCTTCAGCTCCCAGAAATCATAAGAGCTGGTAATCTGGCTGGGATTTCTGGGACTTGTAGACCAAAATACCTGGGGACCCACAGGTTAAGAACCACTGTATTGAGCCATCTTAATTCTTCCAAGAAGTATAAAAGGACATTAAATTCAGGGAGAAATGGGTTCCAGGAACAAGCCATGGTTTTATTGTGCAGTGAAGGTCACAAGATAGCTGCCTAGCCAAATGTAAACACAAAGAAAGGTACTCTGCTTTGAAAGATTAAAAACAGGTTGTTGCATTTTTATCATTTAGTAAGGAATGAGATTTACGAACCAAATTTATGATGATGATGATAAATTACTGTAAGGGGTTATTTTTGCCTTATAAATCTTTTGTTTTGTAATTGTGCATTGTAGTCCAATAATTTCGAGGAAAGGAAAGAAAACTTACAAGATCTTACTGCAGTCTTTCTGCTTTTCTCTAACAACCAATCCAAAATGGTATTTTGCACATTCCTGCTGTTATACTTAAATTTATCCTGATGCAGAAGAGTTTCTATAGTCTAAATGGTTCTTCATAATGTGTTGTTCCTTCCCTAATATATTGCATTTGGAGGTATTTTACACACACAAAAAGTAAAGCACATTTCTCCTTCTATGCCTTCTTTATTACCTTTTAGGTTGCACTTTCATCTTTATATTGAACGATTAGTGTACTTTAATTCAATTTAGACAGAAACAAAATCAAGTATAGTGGGCTCTTGGTATCTGCTGGGGTTGCGTTCTAGGACCCTGCATGAGTACCAGTATATATATATATACTCAGTTCTCATTATATACAAAGGCATAATAAAATATCCTTTATATAAAATGACAAAAATCAAGGTTTGTTCTTTGGCTTGTTTTTTAAAAATATTTTCAAGCTGTGGATGGTAGAATCTGTGGATACTGAATATTGATGCAGGCTGCATTCACTTGTCATTCCATTTAAAGGGGTTCACTAAGCTATTGACATTTGAACTGGCAGGAAATTTGTTTTGTATTGGAATGTACTGAGTTTTGTACCCAACACAGGGCCAGATTAGCACAGCTGGTTAATCACCAGCAGTAATAGATCTTTCCCAACCGAAAGGTTGGCAGTTTGAGCCCAGGTCGGGATGAGCACCCAACCTTCAGCCTAGCTTTCTGTCCACCTTAAATATTCGAAAACAGCTGTGAGCTGTGAGTAGAGAAATTAAGCACTGCTTAAGGCTTCTTGTCATAGAGGATGGAGCAACAGCACCCCCTGTGGCCGGAATCAGGCATAATCTCCAGGATGCCGAAGCCAACACATACCTCTGCCTGTCTGTCTGTCCTGTATGTCTAACAGCATTGGATGTTTGCAGTGTATGGGTTCTGTAATCTGCCCTGACTCCCCTTTGGGGTGAGAAGGGCAGAATATAAATAAATAATAATAACAGCATTCAGTTTTAAGTCAGAGCTATAGTTCCCTGCCAGGTTAATGTACCTGTTCAATTTCGACCTCTCATGGAGACATTTTTATCAGAAGGAATTGAGAATGCTGTTAAGAGTCAGTTCTGGACTAAATGGACCAATAGCTTTCTGTGTAATCTTAGCATTGCTTGAGCCAAAGGAACTCTGAGGTCTAGAATAGCCAGTTTTGCCAATCTGATACCACCTCCCTAAAACATAGGAGGTTAATGCCAATCAGGAAGACTAACCATGGCAACACACAATTGATGTCAAAAAACCAAAATGTTTGCCTTTAAAAAACCTACCCTCCTATTTGAGAGTATATTAAAGGGTATATTAAAGACCCACCTCTGCTGTGTGGGTATATCTGTACACTTATCACATACTATAAAAGACAGTGTTATAAACATCTAAAAGGACATATATAATTCATGGCAGATGTGGGTGATATGTGACCCTTCAAATATTGAAATGCAACTTCCCATCAACCTTTACCATCATATGGGAGCTGCAGTCCATAAAACATTTGCATGGTCACAGATTGTCTACTCGTAGCTATGGCATGCAAGCCATTCCTTAGTGCAAGCTTCTGAGATTGTATGAAATTAGCAAGACAATATTGCATGAATTTAGAATATGGATGTTAAAGAATGCAGAAAACAGCCTTAAAATATGAGTGTTTTAAAAGTCAGAGCGAGTTTATATATTCTCTGGTTGATGGATTTGCTTGTCTTTGATTCACCTTTAAGTTTACAACGCACTGTTGCAAAATTGCCTAAAGTGATTGCACTCTTATCTGAGATGTCTTCTCAGCATATAGTATTTTAAACCAGGGAGGTTTAATATTATAATTTAATTTGGGGCTGATAGTTTTTTTTTTGCTTTGTTCATTGTTGAAACCTGGTAAATAATTTATTTCATTTTTGCAATCTTGCTGTGTCACAGGCAATGAAGGAGCCACATTGCCACAATGGGCTAAACCCTTGTGCCAGCTGAACTGCTGACTAGAAGGTCAGCAGTTTGAATCCGCAAGATGGGGTGAGCTCCCATCTGTCAGCTCCAGCTTCTCATGCGGAGACATGAGAGAAGCCTCCCACAGGATGGTAACACATCCAGACTTCCCCTAGGCAATGTCTCTGCAGACAGCCAATTCTGTCTCACCAGAAGCTACTTGCAAGTTACTTCTGACACGATTAAAAAAAACCCCAGGCAATGAAAATATCCTTTGGAACTGCACACTGTTAGGACCCAAATGGATAATAGACTATTACAGGAAATTAATCACAAGGGTGGGTTTCTCTAAACCACCTGTCTTCACCAGTGATGCTGCAACACCGTTCAACATTTTCATCCCTGGATTTTTAAGAAAATGGCACTTGGTTCTTTAGAATTTGTGGTCACCATTATGAAATATTGAATATCATAGTGTATGATAGTGAAATCCAAGAATTTAGCATACCCAAACTAAAACTAAATTTGATTGACGGTCCTCAATACAGTAATCTATTGAATCAAGGGAATTTACATAAATATTGACTCACTAAGTTCCTGATGATTTAGTGGGTCTCTACTGGTTGAGATTCATAATTGCTCCTGTACTGTTTCTGCAATTAAAGATAATTGACTGTGCTTTACATTTTCTTCCTACTAAATTTATTTTCCTTTTTATAAAGAGTTGAATATAAATGTGCTTGCATTCATTCCACTTGCTACAGAGGGCTTACATCTCTCCTTGGTTGTCATCAGAAGAGGAAATTTACAACCATCTATACCAGGCATGGGCAAACTCCAGCCCTCTGGGTGTTTTGGACTTCAACTCCCACAACATGTCTTAACAGCCGGTAGTCTGTTACGAATTGGGGTAGAAGTCCAAAACACCTGGAGGACTGAAGTTTGCCCATGCCTGATCTATATTAAAGCCCAAGGGACTAACTTCTCTTTCATGCACATTGGTTGAGTATTTGTTTTGCACACAAGACCCAAGGCTCAAATTTGAGCACGGAGAGACTCCTCATTGAAACTGGAAAGGAGCTGCCAGTCAGTGTGAATAGTAGTGCAGGAAATGGACAAAAGATCTGACTTGATATAAGGCAGGATCCTGTATTCCTATAGCATCCACAAGTGTATTTTTAGAAATATGCAAGGAGGTACTGATGGTAACATTTTAAAACAGAGGAGCAGGTGAGTGGCTACTAAAACTTGCTATCACAGGTGGAGATATTCCAGCACAAACACTTGCAAAATTTTGTTGAGATTGTCAACGGTGGGCTTGTCAAGGTGTTCTTCTGTGTCCTGCATAGTATGCCACACTCTTGGGAAAGGAGACGGTATCAAGTGGAGGATAGGAACTCCTAATATGGAGAGAGAACAAAAGATGAAATGGTTACACTTACGGAGCTTATGGCATTTCAGTATATATGTGTGTAATTTTTCCAAGTTCTGCATATATGTTTTTGGAGGCCATTCCCAGAACCACCACCAACACCACCCTAGCCACCATGGCCACTTTTATATATAAGAGTGGCATGTTAAGTCTTCAGCATTGGGAGTCTGACGTTGGGCAGCTGCACGTTATATCTTGTGGCTGCAATTTTCTTCTACAGTTCCATGTTACAGTGGCCTACATGAATGACTTGTTTACAACACTTTACCATATTACCATAAGATGTCTTATTGGTGGCACACAGAACGAGAGGCTTCTCTTTAGGATGTGGAGCCTACACAACCTACTTTCCACATGGATTGCTTTGGGTTGAACAAAATGAAGCACTGTACTCATCATGAATGCTGTAGTCATTCTTAGATGGTAGGAGGAGCAATCCACCCCTACTAGTTTGTTGGCTGCCTATACATCTGGCAATAACCTGTTGATTTGTAGTTTTAACCTAATAATCTATCCAAAGAAGGTTGCTACAAAATCAAGACAATCATATGAAATGGTTCACATACAACCTTCACTAATTAATATGTATCAAGTTGCTTACAAGCATGGATTTTTTTCAGATGTTGTAACTAAGAGATGGGACTTGTGGTCTTCTAGATGCTGTTGCATTTCAATTCCCAGCACTCTTTATCTTCAGATATATCAATTTGAGTTGCTGATATCACAATTTAGCATCTGGAAGGTTGTATGATTCCTATTCCTGTGTCACAAATCAAGATGTGTGGTTGAAAGTTACCTTTGTTCCCAACTTGGTACACACTTGCCTAGGTTCCAACAGTGAGGGAACACTGTATAAGCACCATACATCTTTGTGTGCCAATGGGGAGGAGGTTGTAATTTAAATGTTTTTACCTCTTCTTAGAAATGGAGCATGGTCATCTTCAACAGGATGTCTTCTCAAGTCACTTCTGAAATAGTGCCTTTCAGCAGGGTAATTTCTCAGCAAACCCAAATCATGAAGCTTTCGTTCTGCAATTGGTTTAAAAAGAACCCCAAAATAATGTTTAAATAATACAGATTTTGATTAAAACACTGTTTTGATGATGAAATAGATTTTCCTCACAATTTCACACACTGAAGTGGTCTTATGAGTGGAGTCCCAGTTGCTATAATATGATATTGCTTTGTGTTAAAAGGTGAATGTTCAATATTGAATTTACTTGGCTGCTTCTAGCATCTCACAGTTTGAGTAATAGTTGCATAGGTCTTTATTTCAAAACTCTGATATAGTGTGAAAATAAAGAACTATCATGATCTGCTTAAATAAAATGCTAAGATTGAATGTTATATTCAGACAGAAGTTTCTTTAAGATTTTTCCACCTAAGGAGATGATAGGGGGTGGCATGCTCAGAGATGTTGAGAGTGTTTTATTTAAGAGTAACCCTTACATTCACAACTATAAGAGGTCAGAGTCTGTGCTACATGAAACTAGCAAGTTGATTTTTCAAATTGGTTATGCTTTGCAGAAACTGGCCTTACCAATTGCCTCAAGTCGAGCAAACCACCGAGCCGTGTTGAGGAAGTAAATGGGAAAAATTGGGTTCCGAGCACCAATTAAATCCAGTAACACAAAAAGATCCTACAAGAAATTGGCAAAGAGATAAGACTGTTAAAAACGTCACTTTAAGAGCTCGGTGCTAAATATCCTAAAGTTACCAGATCCCATTTCATATTTGCACCCAAGCAAGGTCAGTCCTGCTCAGTGCTTGGATGGGAGAACAGCAGAAAGTATCTATAGGGCATATTTGGGCAGAAGGAAGATGCAAAACCATCTCTGAGTATTCCTTACCCATGAAAACCTTATTAAATGCATGAGGTCACAATAAGTTGATTTGTGTGTGTGTGTGTGTGTGAGGAACTACTTGAGAAACTGCAAGTCGCTTCTGGTGTGAGAGAATTGGCTGTCTGCAAGGACGTTGCCCAGGGGATGGCCGGATGTTTTGATGTTTTACCATCCTTGTGGGAGGCTTCTCTCATGCCTCCTCATGGGGAGCTGGAGCTGACAGAGGGAGCTCATCTGCACTCTCCCTGGATTTGAATTTCCAACATGCTGGTCTTCAGTCCTGCCGGCCCAAGGGTTTAACCCATTGTACCACCGGGGACAATGTTGACATGCTGCTTGAAGGCACATATACATAAAGATATAATGAAATGACTATCTAAAATATTCATAGATCCAAACAAATTATGTGAATTGTCTTTTTTTAGTGTCAGAAATGTATTCAGTGCATCCTACTTTTACTAGAATTGTTTTGTTTGTTATAGTATATTATGACATGTTACTCTTCAAAAATAGTATCATGGCTTCTCCTCTATTTGCACCATAAGCTTTTAATATATGATGCTCAAAACAAGACAGCTAGACTCATGATAGTAGCTATAAATAAGCACAAACCCTTGGGCTTCTATAACAGCAACCTGGCTGTGCACTAGAGGCCATATGTCTCATCCTCTGTAATTTGTAATTATTTTCAAAAAAACATTTCTGCCACAATGGAGTTCAAAAAGGCAACATGTCTCCAGAGTAATAGAGGTTTCCCATCCCCCTCTTGAACCAGCATGTGAATTTTGTCGTTCTCATGGTAAATCAGGTTTGTTGGAGGAGGCGTGCTAGATAGATAAAATGCAACCACAATGTGTTTTAGGGTATCAAACCTCCAGAGCAATAAATAGACTTTTTTTCCTCCCTCTTTTAAATATCCATGTTAAGGAGCCCTTGGTGGCACGGTGGGTTAAACCCTTGTGCTGGCAGAACTGAAGACTCACAGGTCGCAGGTTAGAATCTGGGGAAAGCATGAAATACATCCGGGCGTTTCCTGGGCAAAATCCTTGCAGATGGCCAATTCTCTCACATCAGAAGCAACTTGCAGTTTCTCAAGTCTCTCCTGACATGAACCCCCCCCCCCCAAAAAAAAAAAAAAACCATCCACATTAATGTTTTAAATTCTGGTGTGAATTTTTAAATAAAAATCAAGATTGTTGAGGTGAGGTCTCTCACAACCTATGAGTACCTCATTCATTGTGTATGTGTGCCAATCCAAACTGATATATATTCACATAATTTAGAAATTAAAAATTTAAAAAATAACAACAGAGGTCTTTAATCACAGGTTGCACTGAAGTAGTATTCAGTGGAATAGCTGTTTTAGGCTGAGACTGAGAAAAGGAGATTCCTAACATAAGGCTTTTTGGATTCTAGTCCACATTATCAAGAGCAGCTATTCAAGGTGCTGACCCCCCCACCCCCATTCAGCACCCCAGATAGCTCCTTTTGGGACCAAAGCCAAGTGTAGATAGGCTTAGAAGCCACCAGGTTTCTGTAGTAGTTCAAAGCATTTACAGCTTAGCCAATAACAAACCAGCAAGAGGCTTCCTTGATCTGATATCTAGATCCATGCCTTCCTTCAGGCATCATAAAGTTATCACTTACAATGCCCTGGATCTCATTTGTATTTGTGGAATCCGGTGGATGTGGGGTAGCTGCCATTTTCTGGGCCAAGGACCGTGAGCCATACAATGAATCAGAAGGGGTCCAGCGAACAAAGGCTTCTTCACCATCAAAGAAAATGAGCTTCAAGGAGAGATCTGCCCTGGCACTCAGGTTGGCCTGCTATGGAAGGAAAGAATAAGGCAGAAGATGAGGCCACAAAGGGGGGGTTATACCTAATTCAGAAAGAAAAACGGGAGAGGAGACAACTCAAGCCAAGTACCTTCAGTGAATGAAGCTGTGTGTCCAGAGCGCGGGCCAGTTCTAGTAACATGGCACAAGGAACGGCCGAATCAGTGGCTCCCACAAAGACTTCTCCATCCAATTGAGGTGGGAAATATTTTGAATCGTGATGGCAAGCAAGCACCAAATGGCGTTTGGCAGAAGGATTGAGGGTGCTGATTATGTTTGAAAAGGTACGGTAGCCATAGGGAGTGTGGCTCTGAAATGTGTCCTCTTCGACAACCCAGCCAGACCGCAGTCCTTGCAAGCGGTGCTTGATATGCTGAAATGTAGACAGACATTGATAAGAGTAAGAAGCTCAGCTACCCATTTCCTAACCAATTTTGCAAGAACTAGAGAACTTCCTTAAAAGAGCTTAACTGACATTTCAACACTGGAAGAAAATAAAAAAGATAAACACTGGAAAAATAACATTCAGATTGTTTGAGGAATTTCTGTACTGCCCTTCGAAACCATATAATACAGTATACACTAGAAGCAACAGCATCATCATCATGTCATAAAAAACAGGCCTGCATCCAATTGAATCAACTGTTCAATGGAAAATCTATCTGAGACTGGCAATTAGATTTAGGCCCCAAGTAAAATAAGAGCAATGCTTAAAATATTTAATGACAATTTTACACAGCCGATATAAAAGATATATCTTAATATCTCAAGTAGAGATTAGTCACAATTCCAAAGGGAAAACATTCCAGAACTTGGAAGCTGTATAGGGTAAAAATCTGTGTGTGTGTGTGTGTGTGTGTGTGTGTATACACACACACACATATTGACTGTTAATCTTGTTTCAACTTTGGTATCTTGTGGATTTTTAAAATATGTTTTTTTAATTTGTTACTAGTTGTTCCCTGCCATGCGTTGATGTGGCCCAGTCTGTATAAACGTATGTGCTTTGTGTATGTATATGTGTGTATATATTTGTGTATATGTGTGTTTGCATATATATATATATATATGTGTGTGTGTGTGTGTGTGTGTGTGTGTGTGTGTGTGTGGTTTTTTTGCATGCTTTGTAATGTATATATTTTTGGCTTTTTATGTCTCTTCTGCTGTGTTTTTCAGTGTTTTTATGAGTGATGGTCACTTTTTGGCCTGATAGGTGTCTTGTGTTCAAATTTGGTGTCAATTTGCCCAGTGGTTTTTGAGTTATGTTAATCCCACAAACAAACATTGCATTTTTAAAATATAGATAAGCCAGTTTGAATCCCAAATTGAGAAAAAGATGGGATAAAAATATATACAAGAACAATTACACCTGCCCTTCTCTGTTCTATAGATGTATCTCTGCTAGTGAGGAAGGAGATTACTGAACAAGAGGGTGCACCTCTATGAAATCCTTCTATAATATTAAACTTTATTAAATAAGTGGCTGAATTAATTTCATTCATATCATTCATATTATTCAACTAACTATTATTTTATTTGGCACTAACAATATAATTAATATTAATGAGAGTGGCTTTTTAAAGGAAGGTGATGTTGCGTAATCATATAGTATCATTTCGGAAGTTCTGTCCCATTAGCTGGAAGCATGACTGTTTTGGATTATGATTCTCACAGTCTCCCAACCAGAAAAGATGGATATAGTCCCAAAAGTAACTCTTCAAAGATCTGGGAAAGTGGGAACAAGAGATGAGTCAACTGGGAACACATCTTTGTGGATGAGGCTAAAGCAGGCATGGGCAAACTTCAGCCCTCCAGGTGTTTTGGACTTCAACTCTCACAATGCCTAATGGCTGACAGGCCATTAAGGATTGTGGGAGCTGAAGTCCAAAGCACCTGGAGGGCCGAAGTTTACCCATGCCTGAGATAAAGTCAAAAAGAAGAGCTCGTGTGTTGGGGATACATGTATACATACTGTGGATTTCCCCCACATATTTTATTCAATTTTAATTCACTTTTTCTGAAGTAGTGGAACTTTGAATCTGTTTACAAATCCAGTTGGATAGCTAAAGAATATTTAGGAAACAGTCACTGGGTTCAGGGGCCTCAGCTGTTATCATTTAGTGACATTTAATTGCTTCTCACCAAGGGCAGACCTCTGGACGGTTCCTTAGCAATGTGCCTCCTCCGACTCAGAAATGATCTCTGTGGCACACGATAATGCCATTAGTTCAAGGTCTCTTAGGGCTTTATGTAACATGCTGATACTTGTCCATAAAAAACCTCTGTAGAAATTAAATGGGATGTGTCTAAAGGCTAGTAATTTTTTCAGAAGATGGATACAAATGTAATCAAATCGGGGCGGGGGGAGTGGAGTACCAGTCTCAAGTGCTCATGAGCATGAAATTAGACATAGCTACGTGTGGCTTTGCCATTGGCAATGGAGAAAGACCTGCCAGTTTGTCAATCTATGCATTCCTAGAACTGAAACCCCAGGAAAGTCACACTAAATCAAAGGACTAGAGGAGGTGTTGAAATGGAGCAATTTGGAGTGGCTGCAGATAGTGAGATCCGTGCTGCGGATAGCCAGAACCTGAGACCAAGAGCTAAGTCCGTTAAGCGGCGAGTGGCCCTGGTACTCAGCCAACCTGTGGATCCATGTCCTTGGCGAGCGTAAGGAAACCCAATCCAATAAAATAATGCTCACCAAGTTGGAGAGAAGTCACTGAGGATTTTATTAAAGTCAGCTGAAGTGATGTCAGCTTGCAGTAGCCCGCTAAAGATAAGCTAAGATACATAACACAGTAAAACATGCATTTTTATACAATTTCAGGTTAAAAATTCCCGCCACCCCCCCCCCCAGCTGAACCCAGCTTTGCTGTGATTGGCTGAGCCGGCATCACATCAGCATGGGGCTACCTGTAGAGGCGGGAGTTTGGTGCGCCTCAGCCAATGGGAGGACACCCATAACAGTGTCTGAGGCAGCAAAATGTCTGAAGCTAGGAGACCCAAGTTATGAATATCAATTCCTATTGAATAGGAAATCACCTTTAAGGTATTAGGCACTGTGAATATAACAACCATATAGCAAAGAAACATTAATCTATGAGAGAGAGAAATGACTACTTAGTATAATGGATTGACTGTTTTCCTTGGGGACTGATTCCAGACATACACATCCAAATTAGCTTTTTCTATGCCAAATGTGCCAAAAGGCTATTTTAATATTAACATTCACATGTTAAAGAGACATTCTGCTAAGAATTTACCAATTTACCTTGAAACTAACAATGAATAGCTTAATAATCTGTCCATCAAGTTTAAGCTGATGTTCTTTTTCTCATGTCGGTACAGATCCTTGTCAGAACATGCCCAGGGATTGCTGCACCTACGATGCCACTGTTCCTCTCTTTACTTAGGCAATCTGCCAGTGAATCTCTAAGGAGACAAACCACTTCAGTGCAACTGATGTTTTGTGAAACAGTCTGTCTCTTTTAGTGCTTCATTAACTCTAGAGTAAATGTAGCCATCCATCCATTCCTGCTGTACTAAGTGTTCTCACTGTTGCTTTATCGCCTTTCCAAACTGTCAGGTATTAGCATAATGAGTTAGAAAGTGTCCTATTAAATAAAGTGTCAAATTACTATTTTATAGCTATATTGTGAACCTTGAAAATGCCACTTTTTCTCATGTAATCTATCAATTGCTAGTGGCTACTGTTAAGACATTATTGATCAGGGTGTACTCCCAGCTCCATTTCATAAACTTTTGTTGGGTCGTTAGATAATACCCAAAGTACTGGGAGTTATGTTTTTTTTTCCTTTAGAGGGTGTCAAAAAGTGATGGGGAGGAAATGCAAACACAATTTATTTTCAATCAGTCTGTCCATATGTGTGTGTGTGATGTTTTTAATTTATCATTTCCAATTTTTACAACACAAGAACTCTATTTTTCCAATGCCAAAGTTCCATCATGGCTGAAACATCCACAACCACTTATTTCAGTGAAGTTACTTCAGCTCCAGCATAATGCGTTAAACTGGGCAGAAATGTGCTGGCTCCATTGGAGCTAGCACAACACAGGAAGGCTCCTGTATTTGGAGGGAATCATCCAAGGATGCTTCCAACCCAGTTGGAGGCAGGGCCTGCTTACTTACTTAGGCGATCCCTTATAGTCTGAGGATGATGGTCCTCCAAGTGACATGTCTTGGTGGTGGGTACGTAGGTGACTGTGGAGCCCTATGCTTGACCTGTATGTTCTCCTGCGGTGAGGGCAGTGGTTTCCAGGTGGAAGGCGTCCCGGTCGGGGTTGGCTTGACGTGCCTTCCTCTTGGCACATTTCTCTCTTTTGCCCACCATTCATGCCTCTACAAATTCTACAACACTGCTGGTCACAGCTGACCTCCAGCAAGAGCACTCAAGGGCCAGGGCTTCCCAGTTCTCGGTGTCTATGCCACAGTTTTTAAGCATGGCTTTGAGCCCATCTTTGAATCTCTTTTCCTGCCCACTGACATTCTGCTTCCCATTCTTGAGTTCAGAGTAGAGTAGCTGCTTTGGGAGACGGTGGTTGGGCATTCGGACAATGTGCCTGCACCAGAAGTCACACAACATCATGTGATGGCAGGCATGGGGCTCCGTCTCCGAAGAAAGGCTGGAAGCGTCCTAGGACTCTCTATTTGGTAAGTGTGATGAGGTCCTAATATTAAATCAAACTGGAAACCATTAGACTTAGTTTTATTCTCAGAGTCAGCAGGGAACAAGCCTGCATCTTAATACCCAACGCTACTACATGACATAATTAAAATGTTAATAGGCTTGAGTCTGTCATAAGTGAGAAGGCTCTCCAATGACTCACTCAGTGGAAGAGTCTTTACAATGCTATGGATGTAGACATGTGTATATGCCTGAAGTCTGATGGTGATGCTCATTCCACAGTGTAGAAGAACTTATAAGAACCAGTGTGTATAAATCAGGTCAGAAGACTGGTGCCGTCATGGACTCCCATTTGGTATGTTCAACACACCAGAATACCTCCATACCATGAGTTCACAGCCAAGGTTGAGGAATTAAAACAAAGTGAAAACATATGGGACGTTGGACAGAGGAAATTTTAGGAGTTGAGAGGGAGTGGGGCTTTTTTTGGGGGGGGGGATTGAACTGAGAATTTGCCTGACTTTTCTTCATTTGTAACTGTGCTGTATAGTAGTAACCTATAAATAATTTTTATTATAACCTGGCATTAAAGAAATTTCCAAGATTTTCTTGTGACTGAATTTAATTGCTAAGAAGGTTCTGCAATTATCGCAGTTACTGAGAAAAAATTGAAAAGACATTCCACAGTGTAGAAGAACGCACCCAGAACCAGTTTGTAGGAATCAGTTCAGAAGACAGTTGCTGAGAAAAAAAACTGGGAAAGTGACAGAGAAGGAAGACCCTAAATATCAGTACAGACAGCATTTTCAATCTGTTTTGCCTCACCTGGCGTACTGCATAACTCCCTGGTGATCCTGGGTACCTCTCAATCAGAATTGGATGCAGATCATTCTGCCACATTCGATTGACATCTGTATGCAAAGCAACTTGTTCAATGCGTGTCACGTTTAAAATGGTTGGCCGGTGGGAGTACTGTGGGTGGGATCAAAGGAGAGATTAAGACAATAAGCTACTGTGAGACATTTGGCTGTCATGAATTATCCGATTGTTAACATCATGCAGAGTAGGCAAAACAAATTTGTTATTGAATGATAAACCAAGACATTAATGAACCTAATTCCTTTAATGAGTTTATTCTAGTTGAGATGAATGGATTATATAGGCCTAAATAATGAAGGATAACTTTCACACATGGTATGACCCTTGTACTCATAGTAACAGTATCTATGGTTTTATTTATCCATATTCAATAAAATATGTTCTCTCTAGGCATTTTCTTGGTCCTCCGGTGTGATTCTATGGTATTCTTGAACCAGAAATCATTAATTTCAATAGCATCTCCTATCACCACCTTTTTCACATATCCAGAAATATATTTCCCATAGATATGGATGTCTACTGTATTTAAGCATAACCTCTACCCACCTTTCTATTAGCAAAAGCATTGAAGTGGTTAATAATGGAAGAAAATGGCATACTTGGGAAACTTTATTTTAGCGTGCTTAGTATTATGTCTAAATCATAATTTTCTTGAAGTATGAATAAGTATACTTGAGTGGGATTCCAAACAAAATGCTGTAAATCCAGCACAGCCCACTGAATAAAATTCAAACTAAAGAAAAAACTGTCCAAAATAAAAGTAGATAAGTCAACGGGTTTAGCAATGAAATAAATAAAAGACTTAGAAAGAGCATCACCATCCTGAGAAAATAAAAACATGGGCTTACACAAGCCATTCTTTGCTGCATAACAATACTATTACTGTATATCAGGCTATTGTTGAAATAAGCATGTTCCTTGGAAGTACAATCTCACAATCTCTGAGGATGCTTGCTACAGATGCAGGTGAAATGTCAGGAGAGAATGCTTCTAGAGCATGGCCAGATAGCCTGAAAAAACTACAACAACCCAGTGATTCCAGCCATGAAAGCCTTCGACAATACATTAATTATTATCATTTATTTGTACCATTTTCTTCCTGGATCAAGACTAAAAGTGTCACAGGGCAGACCAAGTGAGACCTGTCTGTCTTTCCATGTCTTCTGTTCCCTGTCCCTCCAGCAGCCTCTTCCTGAAACATATGCTTCCATTGTATTGTCGAAGGCTTTCATGGCCGAAATCACTGGGTTGCTGTAGGTTTTTCGAACTGTATGGCCATGCTCCAGAAGCATTCTCTCCTGACATTTTGCCTGCATCTATAGCAGGCATCCTCAGAGATTGTGAGATCTGTTGGAAACAAGGAAATTGGGTTTATAAATCTGTGGAAAGTCCAGGGTGGGAAAAATAACTCTTGCCTGTTGGAAGTAGGTGTGAATGTTTCAATTGGCCACCTTGATTAGCATTTGATGGCCTGACAGTTTTTAGGTGTGATTTGTCCCTGCCTGGGGGAATTCCTTGTTGAGAGGTGATTAGCTGTTCCTGATTGTTTCTTGTCTGGAGTTCCCCCGTGTTTGAGTTTTGTTCTTTATTTACTGTTATAATTTTAGAGTTTTTTTTAATACTGGTAGCCAGATTTTGTTCATTTTCATGGTTTCTTCCTTTCTGCTGAAATTGTCCACATGCTTATGGATTTCAATGGCTACTCTGTGTAGCCTAGCCTGGCATGGTAGTTGTTCGAGTGGTCCAGCATTTCTGTGTTCTCAAATAATATGCTATGTCCAGGTTGGTTCATCAGGAGCTCTGCTTTGGCTGACTTCTCCACTTGGAGTAGTCTGCAGTGCCTTTCATGTTCCACACACGCATCAAGGAACATAGATGCAGGCGAAATGTCAGGAGAGAATGCTTCTAGAACATGGCCACACAGCCTGAAAAACCTACCAACAACCCATATGCTTCCATTAATTCAGTGGCAGGAGCAACCCTGCATATAAAGCTTGACCAGCTGCGAGTTTCACAAACAGAAACAGTGATTGTTCTTTAAGGAGGCAATGCAGCATTTTATAGTTCCCTGGAGTTCCAGGAAGCACCAATGTTTACTTTAGAAAGATGAGTCTGTGAAAACAGACAGCTGGGCAGGCTCCCYCCCCCCCCCCCCACTACCACATGGTTGGCTTTGCCCCATATAGTGTGGCACTGTGTTCAACTTGACATTTGACCACAGAACTCCCATGATGATGAGATGTATAATATTTTAGGATAAATCTAGAGTGGGCTGCTGCAACCTTAGAGGGCCATACGGACATGGGTTTTCTGGAACAGCAAATTACTTGATACCACTTACAGTTTTCATTCTGTCTGATTTCCACTCAACTTTGAAGGGTGATGGAGGCATTACGGAAGCAAAGCCAGCATGTTCTTAGGTGATTTGGGGTATTTTGGTGTGATTTGGGAGGGGGAAGAAATTACACAACATTCAATTAGGGTGTCCTAGTAGAAATCCTTCCCCAACCCCCTAAAAAGGAAAGAGATCTATTTTGAGACATGGGCAATGATTCTGTAATAAGTAAATATGGAGTTTGCAGCAGTCCAAATCAGAATGAACTAAACCTTGGGTCAGGGGGATTGAATGTCAACAGGAGAAATAATTAACTTGAGGCCAAAAGACACATCTGACACAATACATCTGCATGCCTGTTGAAATCTATTTTGGTGACCAGATAAATCATTTAGCTAAAAATACTCATTGTATTCAAAGAGATCTACTGGACCCTGAAGTCCTGATATCTTTGGTCCTTGGTTCCATTGTCTTTATAATATCACAGAAACTACAGTACAGCGTTTCTCAACCTGGGGGTTTGGACCTCTGGGGGGGTTGCGACGGAGTGCCAGAGGTTGGCGGATACCATCAGAAAACACAGTATTTTCTGTTGATCATGGAGGTTCTCTGTGGGAAGTTTGGCCCAATTATATTGTTGGTTGGGTTCAGAATGCTCTTTGATTGTAGGTGAACTATAATTCCCAGCAACTACAACACTCAAATGTCAAGGTCTATTTTCCCCAAAGTCCACCAATGTTCGCATTTGGACATATTGAGTATTTGTGCCAAGTTTGGTTCAGATCCATCATTGTTTGAGTCTGGATGTAGGTGAACTACAACTCTAAAACTCAAAGTCAATGCCCACCAAACCCTTCCGGTTTTTTTGTTGGCCATGGGAATTCTGTGCACCAAGTTTGGTTCAATTTCATCATTGATTGAATTCAGAATGCTCTTTGATTGTAGGTGAACTATAAATCTCAGCACCTACAATTCCCAAATGACAAAAACAAACTCCCCAACCCCACCAGTAATCAAATTTGGGCATATTGGGTATTTGTGCCAAATTTGATCCAGTGAATGAACATGCATCCTGCATATCAGATATTTACCTTACGATTCATAACCGTAGCAAAACTACAGTTATGAAGTAGCAACGAAAATAATTTTATGGTTGGGGGTCACCACAACCTGAGGAACTATGTTAAGGGGTCATGGCATTAGGAAGATTGATAGCCGTACGATGTAATGAAATATTTTCTATGATCTCACAGTCTACAGTTCAACAACCTTCCCGCAACACTTTGTAGTGAGTGTAATGGGACAGCTCAGTCTTTGCTCAAGCAGTTAATGAGCCCAGTCTTGGCTGACAATTGTTGCCCATTAGTAGCAAGGCCTTCATAGCTCAAGATGAAAAATCTCAGGCTAGATCTGAAAAGTTTCTTATAAAACATGTAGTCTTGTTTCTGATTTGTTCAGCATCTAATACATCGTAGAGAGTATTACAGAAGACCATGACCCTTGGCAGCTGGTGGCTTCAATGCCATTGGGGCTGTCAACCCTCTCTGGGATTTAGTCTAATTTTTAAATGAGTTATTCAATGACAAGGGGCTCCAAGGGAAAAAAAGGGATGACAACAAGAGAGAAAAGTTGGCTTTATTCCCACATTGCCCTGGCTTCTGGTATTTTACTTTGGAAAACATAGTACCCTTGACAGTCTGAAGTTAAGACCAATGTGTCTGCTCCAACTATTTGACAGCAACATTGTTGTTGAAACTATTTGACAAGACATTGTTTCTTTTGGCTAGTTACATAATCAAGTGCAATTATGAAGTATAGTGTCTAAATCCAGGGAAGTCATGCTACCCCTCTATTTTGCCTTGGTCAGACCACATCCGAAACACTGTCCAATTCTGGGCATCACAACTGAAGGGACATGTTGACAAGCTGGAATGTGTCCAGAAGAGGGCGACTAAAATGATCCAAGGGTCTGGAGAACAAGCTCTTAGAGAAACGGCTTAAGTAACTGGGAATGTTTAGCCTTCAGGAGAGAAGGCTGAGAAGAGACATGATGAGGGCCATGTACAAATATGTGCAGGGAAGTCATAGGGAGGAGGGAGCAAGCTTGTTTTCTGCTGCCCTGGAGACTAGGGTGCTGAACAATGGCTTCAAAACTACAGGAAAGGAGATTCCACCTGAACATTAGGAAGAACTTCCTAATTGTGAGAGCTGTTCAGCAGTGGAACTCTCTGCCCCGGAGTGTTGTGGAGGATCCTTCTTTGGAGGCTTTGAACAGAAGCTGGATGACCATCTGTCAGGTGTGCTTTGAATGTGATTTTCCTGCTTCTTTGCAGGGGGTCGGACTGGATGGTCCACGAGGTTTCTTCCAACTCTATGATTCTATGAGACTCTTAGGATGGCATTCTTATCTTTACTGAGTTCTGCACAAAATTCTGATTTTATTGCAACTTTTCTCCTGTACCACTAGTCTAAAAATAAATAAATAAATAAATAAATAAATAAATAAATAAAAACAGCAAGTTTCTTTCAGAAATCCTCGTGATTGCATACCAGATTTTATTTGAGGCTTCATGAGTCACACTGAAGACTTTTCAGGTTATCGCAGCAGAGCGATATTTTAGACAAATAAGAATGTTATTTTGATTTTTATTCCATAAGTCCTTCAACAAATGCAGGTCAAAGTTCTCCCCATTTTCCTTTATAAAGGGGGGGGGGAGATTATGCCGAAGGAGATACAAAGATAGCCAGTGGCCAAAGTCACTTCATAGGTTTGTGGACAGAATGGGTGAATTTGAACACATGTTGACCATTTTGGTTCTCTACCTGCTAGATCAGGCATGGGCAAACTTTCTAACTGGGGGGCCGCATGCTGGGCCCGAGTTGGGTGGGTGGGCGGGCTGGGTGGGTAGGTTTCCCTCCCCTTCCCCTTCTCTTTCAGAGGAATAAAGTGAAGGAAAGACAGGAAACATTTGGATCCCAAAAGGGTTAGCCTTGGTCAAGATGAAATGGTGGATGGGAGAGAAAAAGTGTATGCATTAGATCCTGCATTGCCTATTCCTGATACATAATCTTAGAATTCTAGAGCTGGAAGAGATCCCCAAGGGTCATCCAGTCCAACCCCCTGCCATGTAAGAAGGCCCAATCAAAGCACTCCCGATAGACAGCCTCTGTGGAAAATCCTCCAGAGAAGAAGACCCCACCACACTCCGAGGCAGCCTAGGCCACTCTCCAACAGCTCTTACTCTCCGGAAGTTCTTCCTTATCTTTTTAGTGGAATCTCTTTCCCTGCTATTTGAAACCATTGCTCCCTTGTGCCCTGGTCTCTAGACCAGTGGAACATCAGTTTTCCCCTTCCTCCTCCTTAAAGGGACAGCCTTTCAAACCTTGAAACATGGTTCTCATGTCCCCTCTCTACCTTCTCTTCTCCCAGCTAAACATCCCCCAGGAGGAAAAGAGGAAGGAAAAAGAGAAGGGAGGAGAAAGAGAAGGTTGAAAGGAAAGAAGGGTGGGAGGAGAGAAGGAAGGAAAGACAAAAGGGAAGAAATGATGATGATGATGATGATGATGATGATGATGATGATGATGATGATAATAATAATAATCTTTATTTATACCCTGCCACCATCTCCCCAAAGGGGACTCAGGGCGGCTAACACGAGGCCAAGCCCAAAATTACAATATAGCAAAATAAAATACAAACAAGCAAATAATAACATCAAAATAAAATACATGAAATATCAGAATATAAAATAAACAAATGCAAAATAGTTCTTGTGGGTTTTTTCGGGCTATATGGCCATGTTCTAGAGGCATTTCTCCTGACGTTTCACCTGCATCTATGGCAAGCATCAATAACTTGGTAGAGAAATAAAACACAGTGGGCGGGCCAAATGCACAGGATAAAATTGATAAAACCCTGGGTGAAATAAGTAAATGGGGAAATATGTGTTTGAGGGGGAGGTCAGAAGGGGTGAACAATGGGGTTGAGCCTTCATTAAGGACAGGAGAAAGTGCATCATGAGGACAGAACTGCAGTTAGGATGGACATGATATGGGGGTATGTATTCATTTGTCAAAGGCAAGCTGGAAGAGCCAGGTTTTTAGGCCTTTCTTAAAGGCTGCCAGGATTGGGGCTTGCCTAATCTCACTAGGTAACGAGTTCCAAAGCCGAAGGGCCACAATGGAGAAGGCACTCTCTCTCGTCCGCACAAGCCGGGCTTGTGATGGAGGTGGGAGCGAGAGGAGGGCCTCCCCTCAAGATAGAAGAGATCGTTTAGGTTCGTAGAAGGAAATGTGGTTACGAAGGTAGGCGGGTCCCAAACCATTCAGGAAGGAGAAGGGGAGAGGGGGAAGGAGGGAGGAAAGAGGGAAGAAAGGAAGGATGAAAGGGATAAAGGGAGGTAGGGAGGAAGGGGGAGGTAAAGAAGGAAGGGAAGAAGGAAAGAGAGAAGGAAGGATGATGGTGTGTGTGAGAAAGAAAGAGAGAGAGAGAGAGAGAGAGAGAGAGAGAGGAAGGCCTGAGAAATGAGCCCAAGGGGCCGCATCTGTCCCCTGGGCCTCGGTTTACCCATACCTGTGCTAGAAGGAACCGGTTCTTGTGATTCAAAATGTTATTTCAATGAGGCAATGCTTAGTAAAGTAATGCAAAAGCAGAAAAGGGAGAGTAGACAGGAATCGTGTAGCCATGCACATGTTGTTGGACTGCAATCTCTTCCCACTGCCTCTGCTTCTCGGCCTTTTGGCTAAGATCAAATGTAGCCTCTATTGACTAGGGCATGCAGTGAAACAATATCTGAAAGGCTGTGTGATTCCTCCCACCAGTGTAGATGAAGAATACTAAATAATTTGTCCCCATCTAAGTGTTACATCTAATGTTAGGTAAGCAAATTTCCACCTGAGCTTCAAAATTGACATCTTCCATCTCCCTCTGGAGACTGTACCAGAGGCCTCCCAATCTTCCAAGGCAGATAGTTTACACACAGGAGCTGCAAGTTTTGAATCAGAATGACTAAATGTCCACCTTCTTCCTAAACCCACATTCCACTACTATTTGAAGAATATGGGCCCTTTTGCCCCACTGAACCCATTGGGAGTTAGTTAATCACAAGTACTAAATCCATACAGTTGTTTATTATTTATTTATTGGCAGCATTTATATACCGCTTTTCTCACCCCTATGGGGACTCAAAGCGGTTGGCCCACTTTATTCACAGAGTCTGCACCCAAAGTTTCAACCATTCATGACTTGAAAAATAATTTTAAACTCCTCAAAACAAACATTGTTTTGGCCATTTTAAAGGGGCACTTTTTCACTACACCATTTAATGGGACTTGACCATGGAATTAGGTGGTTATCCTGGAACCAAACCCAGGAGATACCAAGGATCCTCTGTAAACCTGAAATCTTTATTGTAAAACCCCCTACTTATTTTTATTTTATTCTGAATCTGTAGCCTACCTTCTTCCACTATGCCAGTGGTTCTCAACCTTCCTAATGCCATGGCCCTTTAATACACTTCCTCATGTTGTGGTGACCCCCAACCATAAAATTATTTTCGTTGCTACTTGATAACTGTCATTTTGCTGCTGTTATGAAGCATAATGTAAATATCTGATATGCAGGATGAATTTTCATTCACTGGACCAAATTTGGCACAAATACCCAATACACCCAAATTTAAATACTGGTGGGGTTGGGGGAGGGGATTGATTTTGTCCCATGGGAGTTGTAGTTGCTGGGATTGAGAGTTCACCTACAATCAAAGAGCATTTTGAACTCCACCAACAATGGAATTGAGTGAAACTTGGCACACAGAACTCCCATTACCAACAGAAGGGTTTGGTGGGCATTGACCTTGAGTTTTGGAGTTGTAGTTCACTTACTTCCAGAGAGCACCATGGACTCAAACAATGATGGATCTAGATAAAATTTGGCACGAATTCTCAATATGCCCAAATGAGAACACTGGTGCAGTTTGGGGAAAATAAACCTTGACATTTGGGAGTTGTAGTTGTTGGGATTTATAGTTCACCTACAATCAAAGAGCATTCTGAACCTTACCAATGATAGAATTGGGCCAAACTTCCCACACAGACCCCCATGACCAACAGAAAATACTGTGTTTTCTGATGGTCTTTGGTGACTTCTCTGACACTCGCTCACGACCCCTCCAAGGGTCCTGACCCCCAGGTTGAGAAACACTGCACTATGCAATTCAAGGATTTCCAAGTGATACATGGGGGGGGGGAGGGGGATCTTTTCAGTTGTCTCCCATCCATGCATTGACTAGACCCAGATCTTATCTTCAACAAGGTGGCTACATTATGGACTTGCAAGCCCCTTCAATTCACTACCTGTCTTCATTTCATATGTGTTTTCCTTCCTCAGGAATCCGATGCTTCATGCTGAGGGAACTGGGCTGAGTGGCGGGCATTTATTTGTACATCATCCTTCCTCATCACTTAAGAAACCAATATGCACTGTAAGTCAACAAGAGCACCTATTTTTAGAAATGCAACATTCCTTCTGGGCAGACATTCCACAATTGATAAGAGATCAAATAGCAATGTAGAAAACATAGGACCCTTCCCATGCACCATCATATCACCATAAAAATGCACACTCATGTCGACTTATTATTAGCATGCTTTGCTAATAAATGAAGGAGAATGCTACTTTGTATTGTTGAAGGCTTTCATGACTGGAATCAATGGGTTGTTGTAGGTTTTTTGGGTTGTACGGCCGTGTTCTAGAAGCACTCTCTCCTGACGTTTTGCCTGCATCTATGGCAGGCATCCTTAGAGGTTGTGAGGTTGTGACCATAAATGCAGGCAAAACATCAGGAGAGAATGCTTCTAGAACATGGCCATACAGCCCGAAAAACCTACAACAACCCAAATGCTGCTTTCATTCCTTCTTTTCCTTCAACCCATGACTGAGAGATCTGTGACCTCTTCCCACCCCACTCCAATTTCCTTCCTTGTATGCCTTCCTGCCCTATTGATGTTTATGTGCAGATCGCCTCCCTTATCCCACAAGAACCCATTACCCAGTGAGGAGAAACCAAAGCAAGCCAGGAAGGAGGCAAAAAAAGGACCCTTGACCTACCTTTTCCTGAGTCCAGTCTGCGCTGCCTTCTCGGCCATTCACTCCTGGAGGGAGGGAGGCCACAGCCAGGGAGAAGAAGACCCATGCCAGGCACATGGAGGCTCCTGCTTTGCCCCTTCTGGCTCTCTTAGCCATGCTCATCTTCTCCAGGAGCAGTTTTGTAGGCAATTCTCTTGCTGAGGAAGAGCTATGTGCCCATGAAAGAGACAGCTAAGTAGGAGGCAGGAAAGGAGCTGTGCTGAAGCAACTCAGCCTTTTCACACAGAAAGGGAGAGAAAAGGACTGGTAAAGCAGGCAGGAGAAGGCACTACAGGCAGCTCGCTCAGAAGCAGCACTCTACCTTTGCATCAGACTCATTTTTGCTCCTGAACCTGCCTCCTGCCTCCTGCCTCCCTCTCTGGCCAGCTCCTCTCAAGCAGAGGCAAGCGCTGATTCCCACCATCCAATCAGTCCGGCTTTGCCTATCATCATTTCCTCAGGGATGCGAATTTCGTCCCTGGCACCACGTCAGCAGCATCAGGAGGACAGCATATGACTAATCCCCGCCTCAGCCTTTGGGCAGCAGCCACAGCAGGATGGGCTCTCCTCCCCCTCCTTCCCTTGCTTCATTTCCTCTCCTCTTCCTTCATCACTCAGAGATAAAACATAACAGTGCTGCTATACAGAGGGTTGGTTGTTGACTATATTTGTCTGTGTTTCTTTCACAAATGGGCACTCATTGTGTGATTCTCCCCCAAAGTGTTCTATGGGTGGAAATCAGAAACACCAGTTTCTATTGATAAGGTGCTACTTCAGCTTGAAGAGTCCTACGAGCATCAATTTGGAAGTGATCTCGTGGGCCATCCAGTCCAATCCCCTGCAAAGAAGCAGGGAAATCACATTCAAAGCACCCCCAACAGATGTCCATCCAGCCTCTGCTTAAAAGCTTCCAAAGAAAGAGCCTCCATCACACTCTTGGGCAGAGAGTTCCACTGCTGAACAGCTCTCACAATTAGGAAGTTCTTCCTAATGTTCAGGTGGAATCTCCTTTCCTGTAGTTTGAAGCCATTGTTCCACGTCCTAGTCTCCAAGGCAGCAGAAAACAAGCCTGCTCCCTTGTCCCTATGTTTTCCATTCAAATATTTATACATGGCTCTCATCATGTTTCCTCTCAGCCTTCTCTTCTTCAGGATACACATGTCCAGCTGTTTAAGCCGTTCCTCATAGGGCTTGTTCTCCAGATCCTTGGCCATTTTAGTCGCCCTCCTATGGACACATTCCAGCTTGTCAACAACTCCCTTTGAAGATATGGAAGGAAGTGAATGGCAAATTTTCCAGCTACCTATATAAGATTTAACTTTTACCCCCCCCCCTTCCAAATCTCAGCATTATTATTAAGCTTTCTTCAAGAGCTCGATAATATACAAAACTAAGGCCACGGTCCCCTGCTACTTTTCAAAATAAATGTAATTCATGTACATTTCTAAAATCTGTTAAGTGTGAACAGTGTAGTGGCTTCCTTGTTTACCCAGTTACCAGCTAAATCCTCCAGGGAAGTTTTGCTTTTTCTCAACTCAATAGGAAATATCTTAGTATAGTTATGATAGACTAAGATTTTTGAAACAGTCAAAATCCAACTTACTAATGCCCTGAAAGAGCTTTCCAGATACTTCAAAGATAACCTCCTGAAGGCTAACCCTTCCAAGACACAAGTGTGTCTTTTCCACCTATGTAACTGAAGCCAACAGGAAATTGAAAGTTATCTGGAAAGACCAAGAGCTTGAACACTGTTTCCATTCTAAATATCTCAGTGTCACCTTAGATCAAACACTAACATTTAGGAAACACTGTATGAACACCAAGCACAACGTAAGGTAAAGGTTTCCCCTGACATTAAGTCCCCAGAGGATCGGAGAGGTCGTGCAGGTTGGTGGCAGAAGATACAGTAACGAAGGTAGGCGGGTCTCAAACCGTTCAGGGCTTTATAGGTGATAACCTGAACCTTGAATTGGGACTGGAAGATGAACGGCAGCCAACGAATCTCCTTAAACAGGGGGGTTGGCCGCTCCCTGTAATTCACCCGTTAATAATTTGGCTGCGGCACGTTGGACCAATTGGAGTTTCCGGGACATCTTCAAGGGAAGCTCCACATAGAGTGCATTGCAATAATCCAATCTAGAGGTAACTAAGGCATGGACCACTGTGGTCAAGTCAGACTTCACGAGGTATGGTTGCAGCCGGCGCATGAGTTTTAATTGTGCGAAGGCCCTTCCAGCCACCGCCGACACCTGAGCATCAAGTGTCAGTGCTGAGTCTAGGAGGACCCCCAAGCTGCGAACCTGTGTCTTCAGGGGGAGTGGAACCCCATCAAGCACAGGTTGCCACCCAATACCCCGGTCGGCCATATGACTGACCTGTGTGACCTCTGTCTTGCTGGGATTGATCTTTAACCTATTCGTCCTCATCCAGACCATCACAGCAACCAGGCACTGGTTCAGCACCTGAGGGGCTTCCTTGGATTCTGGTGGAAAAGAGTAGTGGAGTTGGGTGTCATCTGCGTAGAGATGGCACCGAGCTCCAAAACCCCGGATAACCTCTCCCAGCGGTTTCATGTAGATATTTAAAAGCATGGGAGGCAGAATGGAATCTTGCGGGACCGAGCAGGTGTCTCCCAACTTCACCAACTGAGAACGACCCTACAGAAAGGACCAGAGCCACAGAAAGACTGTGCTCCCAAGACCCATCCTGGAGAGTTGGCCCAGAAGGATACCATGGTCGATGGTATCTAAAGCTGCTGAGATGTCCAAGAGAACTAGCAAGGTCACACTCCCTCTGTCCAGTTCCCTGTGGAGGTCATCCACCAAGGTGACCAAAGCCATTTCAGTACTGTGTCCAGGCCTGAAACCAGACTGCGATCGATTTAGAAAATCGGTGTCATCTAGGAATCCCTGGAGCTGTGAGGTGACCACCTGCTCCAGCACCTTGCCCAGGAAAGGAAGGTTGGAGATTGGTCTGTAGTTATTTAGCACAGAAGGGTCAAGCTAGCTGGCATTCCCTCCCCTCCCCCTAATGTGTGATGGAAAGTTGCTGCTAACTGTGAGAGAAGTAAATGAAACACTGTGAAAGCCATCCACTGCATGGCTATCAGCCTCCTCCCAGTAGACTCAAATCAAGGGAAAGCTTCATGAGAACCACCACTCCTCTTAATGTTCCCCCAGCAACAGCAAGAGTATCCCTCTGGGCAGCTAAACCAGAAAATCCCAATTGGATGCCCCCCCCCCCCGCCCCACGAGATTCCGACTCTAGGGGCAAACCAAGAATGGGCATCTTGGAAGTCCCTGAACAGACTCAGAAGTTAGGCCTGTGCGGTTTCGTTCGTTAATTCGTTAATTCGTTATTAATTCGTTATTTTTGGCATTTCCGAAGCGATATCAAAACACATTTTCAAACCCGGAAGGGTTTAAAAATATCGAACCGGCAACCCCCATAGATTTAACGAGCTTCCGCTCGTTTCGTTAATGGGATGGAGGCTGCTGGAGTGCTGGTGCCTGGCATTCCCCTCTTTCCCGGCCTGGGCTGCTCTCCCCGCCCTCTTTCCCCTCTCCCCGTTTTCCAACACTCCTCCTCCTCCTCCTTCCCTCTCTTCCTCCCTCCCCAGGTCTGTGCGAGCCAGGCATCCTTTCCTGAGGGCCGCGCTGCCGCCCTCCTCCTCCTCCTCCTTGGGTTTCCTTCCCTTGGTTCTCCTTCTGGCAGCGATGGGGCGCCGGAGGGAGCTGAGCCTGCCCTCCTGCCTGCTCTGGCTGGGCTGCGTGGCGCTGTGGGCGCAGGGGGCGGCCGGCCAGGCCAAGCGGGCCAGGGAAGAGCGCATCCGTCCCGCCGAAGGAGCCGAGCCAGGAGCCACGGCCGGCGGAGGGAGCAGCAGCAGCAGCAGCCACCCCGGCAGCAGCTTCCCCCTCCTGGGCAGCTTGGAAGGAGGCTCCGCGCCGGGACCCTCCTGCCCTTGAGGGGGCAGCAGGACGTGCTCCGAGGGTAGGAAAGCCGCCACCTTCTTCCCACTCCCCCGCTCTTCCTCACCTCACAATCTCTGGGGATGTCTGCCATAGATGCGGGAGAAACGTCAGGAGAGAATGCTTCTAGAACATGGCCATACATTGCCCCATCTCTCCATCCCTCCATCCACTCTCTTAGGTAGGCCCTCGTTTCTGTCACCAGCCTGTGGCTTTAAGCAGCAATTGCCTCAAACCCGCTATGTCTGTATAGTAGGCCTGTGCGGTTTCGTTTTCCATTTTAAAATATTTTTAATATTATTTTTTAATATTATTTTTTAATATTATTTTAATATTATTCTTAAAAAAATTCTAAAAAAGAAAAGACTCTTCTGTTGGTGTGTGCTCTCATTTGCTGTCTCCTGCCTGTGTTTGGTCCACATTTGGGCCATTTTTTGGTTAATTTTCCATTTTAAAATATTTTTTAATATTATTTTAATATTATTCTTAAAAAATACAAAAAATATTCTAAAATTCGTTAATATTTACGAAATTTCGTAAATACCAAAACTTTTTTGGGGGAAAGTTTTGTAATTATTTTAAATATCGAAACAAAAAAACACCCCAATTACAAATCGATTTTAGAAACAAATTTTTTCTTGATCAAACAGGCCTATCAGAAGTGGAGCTGGGAGCTCAAAAGACAACATGACTAAATGGCACTACCTAGAGGAATCCTCCATCCTCTGCGACTGTGGAGCAGAACAAACAACTCGGCACCTGTATGCTTGCCCACAATGCCCTGCCTCATGCAGAAGAAAAATTGTTTAAAGCTACAGACAGTGCGGTCGCTGTTGCCCATATCTGGTCCAAAATTATTTAGCTGCTTGTAATCCCTCTATTTTATCAGTTTTATACTTGTTTATTTATGAAATGCTTTTGACATGAAATAAATACATAAAAAGACTAAGAACGTGTATTGATTCAGTTTGCATGCAAATTATGCAGTTTGAAAAAGAGTCCACCACTGTGACTCAGATCCAAATCAAAACCTCAGTTCAAAAATTTAAATGCTTGTGGCTTTCACTGCATATCATTGTACATCAACAAACAGCTATACATTTTTTCTGTTTGTTGGAGCTGGATGCTATTAGCACACACTACAATATCTTATGAGTGGGTTGGGCATAGTAATTTGTAGAGAAATGGGCACTGAGGTATTTTGTTATTCATTTACATTTGTGAAAAAAATAATTACAAAGGGGGAGCTGCCAATAAGCTTTTAAATTTTCTTTATGGAAAAAAATGGTAGAGAAAGTTAGAATCAAAGGCTTGAAAGAGACTTTAAGGCGCATCTAATCCAGCCCAGTATTATGCATAGATACACAACTATAACCTTCCTGAGAGATTGCAATTGAATCTCTAAAAATTCCAACCCCCCCCCAAACAAACAAAAAAACACAAAACAAACAAACACGAGTCTACTGCCTTCTGAGACCATCTGAGAGGAGTGTTGAACAGCTTTTACAGTCATGAAGTTCTTCCTAACATATATTTTCTTGTAATTTGAATCCATTTTGATCCCTATTAGAGACTTGCAGCTGCCAAAGTTGAGAT